AGTCCTGATGGCTTTCCTGAGAAAGGAAGGCGTGATGATCGGCAGCCTTGCCGCAGCTTCAGGATTCCTTGGGATTCTGGGGAGAGGCGCGTCCTGGATGTCCCAGAGGTGTCTTTCGACCTCGCCCTCCAGGAGCTTACTTGGCCGACCAGGCCAGCGGCCATCTTTGGCCTTCACTTCTTGGGGCTGCCACGTGGTGTTGTCTTTGGAGCATCTATGGGCCCACCCAACTCCTTTGGCCATCTGTTCGGTGACCCACTGCTTCCAGGAGGCGGTGGCTTGCTGTCTTTCCCGAGAGCGTTCCTGGTCGTGGAAGTTGGTTATCTCCTCTTGGAACTCTGAAAAGATGTGGGAGGCGCGTTGGCTGGACGCCTCTATACCCTCCCGCCGGACGTCCTGCAAGAGGGCGTCGAGAAAGCGGCTGAACTTGGCGAGCAGGGCCTCCAGCTCCTGTGCTGACTGAAACTCCTGTGGCGCATCCTGCAAGGCAGACTGTGCATCTCGCAGGCCTGCCGAAAGACCTATGTGTAAGCTTCGCTGCACGTCAATGACCCGATTGTTTAGCCACCTGAGCGGCCTGGCGTATGACTGCCATCCTGCACGATGCTTGGACTCTTCTGCTCTGGCTGAAATCCAAACGATCCTGGGCGGCTGGCAAATCTGTCCTCGACTCCTGAGCGGTGTGTCTGTTTGCTGGGCGAGCGGATCTTCGAGGTCCAGGGCGAACATATCGAAGGCGGCGCTCAAAGCTTGGGTCTTCTGCTGCTCTGTAACTCCTGGCTCCTGGATAATCTGCTGAAGCTGCTGCGCTGCTGCGGCTGCTCTGTTCCACTCCTTGGGCTCCTTGGAGGGACCGTAGGGGCGCTTGGTGGGGATCTTCTGGGGCCTGGCCAGCCTGGGGATGAGGTGGTTCTTGCCTATCACGAACTGGGCGACAACGGGCCTGTGGGGCGAGAGCGGGTAGTTAACCAGGACCTGGACGCTGCTGACAGATTCTCCCAATATCCTGCTGGCGACGAAGTAGTCCAGGTTAGATCTGCTTCTCTTGGTGAATAGGGTGGGCCCAGGCGAGTGGAGCAACTGAAGTCCTCCTCGCTCTATCAGGCTCGTCTCCTTGATGACTGACGGCGGCATGTTAAGATCGCCTGCTGCAAATACTGGCATGCTGTGGTGACTCTGTATCCAACCGATGGCTGCCAGCAACTCGAGATTGCTCTGACTGAGGCCTGCTGAGTCCTCGAGGTAGAGGGAGAGCAAGATGAAGGGGGAGTGTCCTGGGAGTTCGAGAATGACTGCTGCGATCCTGCTGGGAGATGCGGAAGGTGGGAGCGCTGCGGGTCGAACACCCACATCTAGGCCTGCCCTGACAAGAATGGCAGTGTCTGACGTTGGTCGATTGGCTTCACTAGTGAAACTTGGTGAAATAACAGAGTGCCACCCCTCTTTTTGGCACCACTGCTTGGCATCTACGATGCGATCCCCTGAGATACGAGTCTCCTGACAGCATATCGCAATGACATTCTTAGATAATGACGACGAGACAAAACTTTTGACAGCTTCCCAACAGCTGCCATTCAGGGTAACTATTTGCATAGTCTGGCTAAAGATTAGACCGATCTTTGCCCATTGCTGCTGCGGCGTCTGCTGCTTGCTTGAGCTTCTTGGCTGCTTGGTCCCCTTGGTCCCCTGCGTTGATGACGACACGGCTTGCTCTCTCCAGAGCTGCTGCGCTTTCTGTTTGGCCCCTCTTGTGGGTCTGGCTTTGATCCATGCCCTCTGCATGGTGGGGCTCTTTGACTGCTGGGGCCCCTTGCGGTGGCTGCTGAGGCTGCGGGCTCCACTGCTGTTGGGGTCCCTGTGGTGGCTGCTGAGGCTGGGGGAGCGGCGGCGGCGGGAGCGTCTCCGACTGGAACAGGAACATTTTCTCCTGAGATGGGGAGCTTGCCCTCACTGGCGGCTGTCCGAACTGCTTCTCCCTGGGGCTGCTGTAGCGGCTGCTGCTGCGGCTGCTGCTGCTGCTGGTAGGTTGCTGAGAGGGACTTCTCCAGGGCCTGGATTTGTTCCTGGATCTGAGGAGGAACACCCACGACTGGCCCATGCTGGAATTCTCCCACGAATCTGGCAACCTGCGGGAAGAAGGTGGAGGTTGTGGCCGGCGCTTGCTGCGCCACCGCGCGGATGGCGACCGCGAGCTGGCCCTCCAGCTGCTCCAGCTCGAGGGTGTCGGCGACCTTGTCCGACTCCATGGCAAGGACCTTGTCTGCCAGGACGGAGATCTCGTCGACGTAGCCTTTGATCTGCTCGGAGAACTTCTTGATTTTGCCTTGGGCGGCGGAGACCTGATCGCGAAGGGATTGACATTGCTGTTCCAAGGGCTTACCTTGGAGGGCTGAGGACTTCGCTTGCTTGAGAGCAACCACGGCTTTGGCATAATTCTCTCCCCCCGTGCCCTCACGAACCTTCCAAAAATTGGCAAGATCTGAATACACGGCGACAGGGCCATCTGCACCTGCGGCTGACTCTGGGGGGGGCTGCGGCGATGAATTCATGCTGGCCCTTCTCCTTGAAACGAGACCAACGATTGCCTCGTCCCTGTTCGGTCCCATGGCGATCTCCCGACGATTTGCCTCCTCCAGACTGGTACGAAGGCGGCTGTCCTGACTTGGATTGTCCAGGCTTGGGGAAGGTGGCGCCGCACTGGGAACAGAACTTATTGTTGCGGTCCGAATCGGACCATCCTTTGCACCCCTGGCGAGAGCAACAGACCCACTGACGGAAGCTCTCTGATGGAGCCATGGCCTGTTGGCAGCGCCTGGGCTGCACAGGAGAGCGATGCAGATGGCGGCGCCTGCGGCCCGCCCGAGGAATTGAATGGTTGGTTGCAAAACTGGCAGCGCTACCTGCCAGACTCGAGCGGAGGTTGGGAAGTTCAGGAGCAGGCCCCTTGAGCCAAAATGGCTACGGAGGAGGAGGAGGAGGAGGAGGGGAGGGGGAGGGGGAGGGAGAGGGGGAGGGGGAGGGGGAGGGGGAGGGGGAGGGGGAGGGGGAGGGGGAGGGGGAGGGGGAAGGGGAAGGGGGAGTGGGAGGGGGAGGGGGAGGGGGAGGAGGAGGCGGAGGAGAAGGAGGAGGAGGAGAAGGAGGAGGAGGAGGAGGAGGAGGAGGAGCCTTCCCGCCTCACAGTTGAACAACAGTCTTTGATCGCTCTCACGAAGACCAGCCACCCAGGAGCTGTCTCCTAGCGTATCGTTACCCTCCAGGAGTTGCGCCATCCCATCAGCTGCGTCCTATCCTAACTTCATTTCGGCGTCGCCCACACATACTCTTTCAGTGCTTGCGTCGCCCCCCAGGGGCACCGTGCGTGCTCAGATATCTCATAGTGCCACTGCGTCCTATAATCGTTCTTACGAAGGTCTCCCAGCCAACGACGGCGCCATCCGACGCGCGAGGCTTGCGCCAGTAGCCCACCGCGCTTCGGCGCGACAAGCTATCCGCGCGAATTTTTGAAGCTTTCCGCTACGCGGAGCGGAGCGACACGCTATCCGCCCTCAGGGCATAGTCTGTCTCTGGGGCCGCCGCCGCGACGCGCTAAGCAACAGTTCCTGACCGTAACTGAATCGTTCTCCCAGCCAGCGACGGCGCCATCCGACGCGCGAGCCCTGCGCCGATAGCCGTGGGGACACACGCTTAGTTGATTTTGAAAACGTTGGAAGCGTTTCTGCCCCCGTTTTCAGCTTGTCGGTTTTCTGCTACTTGAGAAGGAACAAACACTGCAATGCAAAACAGAAAGAAACAAATCAGTGCGAAACGGAACCGAACCGAACAACAACGCGAATGAGACTCCCAGAACGGTGAACGATACAAACAGCATTTCGGCATGATCTAAGGTCCCACAGTCTTTCTTACGAAGACCTCCCAGCCAGCGACAGCTCCATCCGACGCGAGAGCCCCACACCGATGGCCGCGGGGGCGTACGCTTAGTTGGTGATGCAAGCGCTGGGGGCGTTTTTTTTTCTCCTCCGTTTCCCCCTTGTGCTATTTTTCGGTATTCGGCAAACCACAACGGGACAACACAAACGGCAGTTTAAGGCATAAGCAACACGGAACCAAACCGAAAACGGCGCGAACGATAATCCCAGAGTGGAGAACACACGATGCCAACACGGGATATTGCGTAGATCTTGAAAACGGGAACGAACACCCCCCAGCATGTTTCATTTCGTCTAATCGGGGTCGCTCCAACATGCTCACACCATGTGTGCGTCGCCACCCCTGGGGCGACGCGCGCGACGAGAAATCTTCTAGTTCGAGCTCCGTGGCGGATGCTTTCTGGTCGTGCCGCTCGGGCACCGATACACCACAACATGTTTCTACGATGTGTTCGGATCTGGCGCACGCCTCTAAAGAGGGCGCACAGTATCAGTATGCGCAATTGCTAGAGATTCGCGGACGGAGGGCGGGCCGTCTGCCGTATGTGGTTCTCGCCTTAGCGCCGCGCACACTCGATAAACAAACGACAGGAGTTCCACATATGGGGGGCGGGTCGTTTTCAACACGTTGCTCTTGCCGTAGCTCCGCTCACATTCGGATTGACGGCGGTTCGGTTTCAACATGTGGTTATATCGCCATAGCGCCGCGAAGATTCCCTTTCTTTCTGCGTCTCATCTGAGGCCCTATAACCTCCCAGGCAGCCGCCGATCTGATTTGCTCAGTACGCGGCCCCGGAGGTCCCGACCCCTTCCCCGGGGGTGGTTTTCCGTCCCGGAGTTGTTTTCGATGGCCCCCCGGCCCGATGACGGGCCCGGGAGGCCGAAATCCAGGAAAAACCGCCGCATTGAAGGCACCGTGTTCTCGGCTCTCCGGGCTTCCTCACGAGGACCTCCCCGGCCAGCGACGGCGCCGTGCGGCGCGCGAGCCCCGCGCCGCGCCGACGTGCCGCGCCCCGCGCACATGGGCGGCGCGGTATCAAGCCGCGCCGCCGGGGAGCCCCCCCGACCCCCGAGGCGCTGGCGGGCTGCTCCGCGCTGGTGCGGCTGGAGGACTGCGCCCTCGCCTCTGGCGAGGAGGACGGAGGGGGAGGAGGAGGAGGAGGAGGACGGATGGGGAGGAGGAGGAGGAGGAGGAGGAGGAAGAGGAGGACGACGACGAAGGAGGAGGAGGAGGACGAAGGAGGAGGAGGAGGAGGAGGAGGAGGAGGAGGACGAAGGAGGAGGAGGAGGAGGAGGAGGTGCGCTGGTGCGGATGAAGAACGAAGAACGGCATGAGCATAAACTGTTGGATCTCCGCGTGGATCTCGAGGATCGGAACTGAATCACCCTCCCTGGCGCGCGGAGCGCGCCAGGGGCGGCGCCGGAGGCGCCGACCCAGCGCGGATCCAAAAAATCCGCCCTGAGCTTCAAATGTCTGTTTTATGCCGTGCGTTCTGTTCCTCCAGATTAGCGCCTGGGGATCGATGGAAGAGAGCCTCTAGCGTCGATCAGCGTCGAATCACGTCGATTCGCAAGAGCCAGCCAGATGGTGTGGGAGGCTCCCATAAGCTGCCGCAGAAGGAGCTTGGGCCCTCGAAGCTCGAGCCGCGAGCCTCGATCGCCTCACTCCTGCGTCCTCCCTGAGATCCTGGCGGTGCAGTTGTTCACAACGGGCACTTCCGCCCAGTGTCGGGCCCCTGGGGCCCCCACAAACGTTGCCGTTCGAGAGATGACGCAGAAGGGTGGGGCGACCGGGGCTCCGATTGCGATGTTGCATGTTTGGTTTGCAGGGTCGGATCTCAAGAGATGGGGGGGGGTCGTCTGGGGCTTTGTGGGCCCCGGAAACGGCAGGGCCGTTTTTTTACCGTTTCCCCAAAAAATGTCCTTTGAAAATGGAAACGGCAAAAACACGGCGACCAGAAACGGCAAAAAGACGGCTCCAGGATTGGAACCGGAGCCGGAACCGGTCACAAAACGGCGACGGAACCGGTAAAAAAAACGGCGTCGGAACCAGCAAAAAAACGGCAAAACGGAACAGGTAAAAAAAGGCCCCGTCGTTTCCAGGGCCCACTAAGGTCTGCATGGGGATCTTCCCCCTTCAGAGGCTTGGAGCCAGCTGAGGCCCTTGCACACATTTGGCAGCAGATCCTTCTGTGCGTTCTCGTAGGTCCCTCTTTCGAGTGCATTGGCGTGTGCTAGCGTCTGGTAATCGTCGCGGGGGGTCGCGGGTGGGTCGCGAGGCAGGTCGCGGGGTGGGTCGCGCGTGGGGTCGCGGGGTGGGTCGCGGGGGGTCGCGGGTCTGGTCGCGGGCGGGTCGCTGGGTGGGTTGCGGGGTGCACCCGGGTGGGTCGCGGGGTGGGTCGCGGGTGTGTCGCGGGCTGGGTCGCGGGTGGGTCGCGGGTGGGTCGCGGGCGGGTCGCGGGACGGGTCGCGGATGGGTCGCGGGCCGGGTCGCGGGGGGGGGGGACGACGCCAAACAACACGACAGCAACAGCAACAACAACATCAACAACACCAACAACGACGACGACGACAAGAACAAAAAACCAAACGAACAAACGAACAAACAACAAAACCAGCAACAGCAACAACAAGAATCTGCATCATAGAATCCCACTTCAGGCACGAACCCAGGGAGAGTGATTGACCGTTCGCCCCCCTCTCTTTGATGTGCGTGTGTACGTATACATGCATGCATGCATGCATGCATGCATGCATGCATGCATGCATGTATGTATGTATGTATGTATGTAATGTATGTATGTATGTATGTATGTATGTATGTATGTATGTATGTATGTATGTATGTATGTATGTATGTATGTATGTATGTATGTATGTATGTATGTATGTATGTATGTGTGTGTATGTATGTATGTATGTATGTATGTATGTATGTGTGTATGTATGTATGTATGTATGTACGCATGCTTGTCATGTATGTAAGTATATATATACACATAGATGTACATGCATATATATATATATATATATGCCTGGACGTAATTACGTACGTATGGATGGATGCACGCACGCATGCATGTATGTTATGTTTGTCTGTCTGTATGTATGTGTGTATGTATGTATGGATGTAGGTAGGTAGGTAGGTCGGTAGGTAGGTACGTATGTATTCTCACGAGTGCATTGGCGCTTCGTGCCATGCACCATGCTCCATTTTCGGCGGAAGGCGGGGAGGCTTCGTGCTCTGGGGCTTGCGTTGGAGAAGACGCGAGCGGGAACGGGAGAAGATTTCTGTCCGCGTGGCAGCGAGGATCACCGCCGAAGACACCACCCAACCCCACGGGCGGCATGTTTCCAAAAAGCTGGCGAAGCAGCAGCGGTCGAAGGGGCGGCGCGGCAGCCGAAGCTCAGGCGTTTTCGGGCCGTCTGTGGCCGCCTTGGGGCATTGTGGGCCGTCTCGAGGTCTTTTTTGGCCGTCGTGGGGGACTTCTTGGGTTGTCTTGGAGCGATCTTGGGCGCCTCACGGGCGGCTCTGGCCGTCGTAGGGCCTTTCTTGGCCGTCGTGGTGGACTTCTTGGGCTGTCTTGGAGCGATCTTGGGCGCGTCATGGGCGGCTTGGGCCGTCGTGGGGCTTTTTTTTGCCGCCGTAGGGGGCTTCTTGGGCTGTCTTGGAGCGATTTGGGGTGCCTCATGGGCGGCTTGGGTTTTGTGGAGCCTTTTTTGGCCGTCGTGGGGGGCTTCTTGCGCTGTCTTGGAGCGATCCTGGGCGGACTTCCTGCTCCTGGGGAGGGCGTGGATTAGCCGTCCCCCCAGGGGAGGTGCGTTACCCCTGACGCGACCGCCTAGCAGCTAGCAGCTGGGGGATCAACAGCGCGCCCGCCAAACCGGCCACCCGGCCCGCGCACCCCACAAGAAGGGAAAGCACCTTAGGCCAAGGGGTGGTTTGACACGGTCTCCTTGTCAAGTAGTGGCGAAGTGTCCTGGCTCGCCTATAGGCCCACCAAGTACTGTTCTAAGAACCTTCTGTGGTCTGCACACACTGTTCTTAGAACGTTTCTGGCAGAGACCGTTTTGTTTTAACACCTCGAAGTTCTGTTCTAAGAACATTGTTTGGGTTCTTAGAACATGTTTGGGATCTAAGAACATCTGGTGGTACGCCTATAGAAATGCCGGGACGGTCGGTCCCTGCTCCACCGTGCACTCCCCCCAAGCACGTCGCCTTCGATACATACCTTTGAGAACCTCCGACCAGGCTGAGGCTCGTGGGCGGCCACCGCTCTCGGCGTCGGCCGAGGCCATGCAGTGTTGCATCGCCATGCCTGTCACGCCGCAGTGACCATGGGGCTCTCTTGAGCCCGATGTCGGCGTCACCCCAACATACTTATACTATATGTGCGTCGCCCTCCGGGGGCGACACGCGCACCGAGGAATCTTAAAGTACATGCGTCGTGGGAGGCGCGTTCTGGGCACACCGCTCGGGAAACGATGTATTGCAATAAGGGTATACTACATGTTCGGGTCGGATGCGCGCCTCCAGCGAGGACATATAGTAATAGTATGTCCCTGTGCGTCCCACGATGCGCCGAAGCAGGCGAACCGCTTGGAACCAGCGCCTCTCCTCACAGCCTGCTCTGAGGGCAGAAATCTGTAAGCCACCCCGAACAACCAGACCGCCCGAAGGCATCCCTCCAATCTGGGCGCGAGAGGGTCCGTGAAGCCCCTCTGGCGCTCTTGGAGTGCTGAAGTCAGCTCCTCGCTGGAGACAGCCTCAGAATCTTTTTTGACAGCGCCGAAGTCCAAGCCACCAAAGAGGTAAACCGCTCGACGCTTGACGCGTCCCCACACATTGGTCGCGAGCGGGCCCATGAGATATCCCCTGGCGGTTCCCCGTGGGGTCCTGGAGCCAGCGCCTTGCTCGAGACATGCCAACAATATGTTTCGAAAGCAGCGAAGTCCAAGCCACCAAGCAGGCCAACCGCCTGAGACCTCCCCACCCTCGGCGCGAACGGGCCCGTGAAATACCCATTGGCGGCTCCCCTTTGGTGTGCTGAAGCCAGCGCCTTGCTAGAGACAAGCTCACACTCTGCGAGTCTAAATGTCAATAGGTCTGAGTGTTGGTGAGTCTGAGCATGAGGGAATACGTATGTGATCGAGTCCGAGATGCGTCTGTGTGTGAGTGAGTCTGAGCATGAGTGGGCCTGAGTATGAGTGAGCCTGAGTGTGAGTGAGCCTGAGTGTGAGCGAGTCCGAGTGTGGGTGAGGAGAGTGAGGAGAAAGGAGGGAATGGGTGGGGAGGCAGAGGCGCCACACCAACAACAAGAACCCCATACTCTGGATGTGGGTAAGATGTGTACACGGGAATACTCAGAGGGTTTCGAGGTTTCTGACATTTCCTGCGCTGGTCTGCAGGACGCCTGTCGGGCCTTGCACCGCCCGTCCACTTGAAGTATCGGCCGCCTATGGGCCGTCGTCGTCGTCGTAGTCGCCGTCGTCGTCGTCGTCGCCGTCGTCCGGAGGGCAGGGGCAACAAGAGGAGCAAGGATTGGGACGGGCGGACATCTCTCGCCTGCTTGGTCTTGCAGCGTGACGCTGATCGAGCGACAGGTCAGGAAACTGTCTCGGTCGTTTTCTAGATGCTCGAGTGAGCAATGGGTTGCCGGCAACCTCGCGCTTGGCGCGCCCCCGACGTGGTACCTATGCCACAGACGGGCCTCGACGCCGTGTTGGCAAAGAATTGAGCAGCGTGTCCGTAGCTCTTGGCTCATGGAGGCAGGCTCATGCCATTGGGTTGAGAGTGTCGATGCCCCTTCGCTCATCCAGGCTCGTACGAAAGCATGCTGAAGCAATCCTTCCCACACAAGTTTTATCACCTCTTCGTCATGCATCCGCGTGCTAAGGTCGCACAGGCGGAGGGGCATCTCGCAGTCGACTCTTCGAGCGCATCGAGCGACGACGAGTCGTCGTCAGAGGACGTCGTGGAAACTGTTGCTCCTCGAGCAGCCTCGGGAGGGGTAGGGACTGCCATTCAAGCGACGATTGCAATTGTCGTGTTCGCTTTTGTCATTGCTGTCGGATGCCGTGCCGGCGCCGCAGCCAATCTCGGCAAGGGCCCCGCTGCGCCAGCGGTGCCGCCACCCCGAGGCACGGCGGTCGAGGCGGTGGCCACGACGATACCGAGCAACTGCAGTGCGGATCCGCCTACTCTTCCGTCTGCTTGGGACGATGGAAACTGCGCCCTGGGCGCTGCGGCACAGTTGTGGCATCTGGCTCCAAACGGGACTGCCTTGGGCGGAGACCTCGAGCTATGTCGTGGGCGTCTGTCGTGCGAGGCGCGCAGCTCTGCCTGGGCAAGTCCTCATCTCGTGTACACTCCGGCTGACTTCGAGGGGTGTCTCGCAAGGGGATGCCGTCTCGTTGTTTTTCTCCCTGGTACTGGCGGTGCGCCCCAAATGTACAGCAAGTTGCTCGAGGCTGCAGCTTCTGCCGGCAATTTCGTGATCGGATTAAGCTACCTTTGGCACCCAATCGCAGTGAGCCAGTTCAATGCGTGGTGCCAGGCAGCAGAGTCAGCAGACGGCTGCAACCAGGATGTGCACCATCTCATGCTCTTCGGAAATGGAACTACACCTCTGGCGTTCTCGGGGCAGAGCAACATGTTGTGGGACGTCATGCCTCGCGACGCTGTCAACGAACTGTTACTTGGCGTCTTGTTCTCCGTAACATGGGGTAATCGTTTCGTCGTTGCGCGCACTGGCGCTGTGGATTGGAGCAATGTGATAGTCAGTGGGCACTCCCAAGGTGCGGGGCACGCAGCATACCTGTCGTATCTGACTGGTGCCAACGCAGTTCTTTTCAGCGGGCCGCAGGATTGCGAGTCGTGTGCTGCGCAATGGCTCCCATTTATGGCGAACTCCAGTGCCACGTGGCGTGCCTTGTTCCACATGCACGAAGAGTGTGGTCCTGACCCAGTTAGTCCGTCTTCGTATTGTGAGCCGAATTTGTTGATGATCAATCTGGCAGCCATGGGTCTGAACGACAGCTCGGCCTCCATATGGAAGGGTGGCCCAGTGCCAAAGAACCTGTCTGCTGTGATCAGCACCATAGCTCCAAAGTGCTCGGAAGGCACCCCGCGTGCGTTTCATCGTTCGGTGGCAACGGATAGCTGTGCGCCAACAGAGCAAGGCATTGTTGCTCTTTGGATTGCCTTGTTCACGGGCACGTAGATGCGCGCCCGCCTAGAGGGCAACAGCATTGGGCTCGCACATTCCTCGGATGCGCGCTGGAGTCGTCAGCTTTGAGCTGCTCAACCGTGCTATGCCCGTAAGGCCGGTCGGTGTGGATTGCATTGACGCCTTGGCATGAATATGCTCTTTAGGCCGATCGACCACTGCGATGTGGTTTCCAGTGAAATGAACGCATCTACATGCGTCTATGCTGTTGCTGTGGCCCGGTATCTGAAGTCTGCCTTGGCATTGATTCCTCTCGTTTCGCGGGCCGCACGTCCAGAGTGTGTGGAGCATCTGTGTGTGTGTTGGGCATTCCTGGGAGCTTTTCGGAGGCTTCTTTGGGTCATCGTGGGCTGCTTGAGGGCTTGTTTGGGGCGTCTGAGGCCGTCTTCGGGCGGTCTTGGCCCGTCTGGCGCCTTCGCGGGCCGCCATGGGGGTCTCTCTGAGCCGTCTTGGTGCCCTCTTGGGGCCTCCAAGGGCCGTCTTGGGGGTGGGTCTCTTGGGCCGTCTTGGGGCCCACCCGGGCAGTCTTGGGGCTGGCTTGGGGGTCTCTCGGGCCACCTGGGAGCCCTCTTGGGCTGTCCTGGGATGCTTTTGGGGAACTTCTTGGATGCCCTGGAGGTCTCGGGGCCGCCTTGGTGGCTCCGTGGGGGCCTCTTTGCTGGCCTCTGGGGGCCCGTGCAGGGCTTCTTGGGGGCCTTGGGGCCTCTCGGCCGCTTCTTGGGGGCTTCTCGCGGCCACTTGGGAGCCTCTGGGGCCGTTTGGGCCGTCTTGGACGCTTGGGCCGTCTTGGGCGCTCTTCGTCTACCTTGCTGCTGTGGCCTGGCATCTCGGGCATGCCCTGGCATTGACATGGGAGGTCTGCCCGAAGCCAGCCGATGTAGAGAGCCCGCTGCTGCCCTGCTCGTCTGCTGCCCTCCAGCCCTCTCTCCGCCTCCGTGGTCCTAGAGGGCTCCGCAGCGTGACACGCTTTGGGAGGGGGCATGTTGGTCTACAGTGGAGACCCATACCAAGAAACTCCCTGCTTGCCTCCAGGGTGCCCTGGGTTCCTGGAGTTTCGATGGCTTTGCCATGGAAGATGTGACGTTCCAACACTGAAAATCAATGGACGTCTTGGGGTCTCAGGGTTGGGTTTCTTGTGGAAGGTTTCTTGTGGACCGGCCTCCACTGTAGTGCACACGATAAGTAGATGCTAGCGCGGTGCCCCACTCGACCCCAGGTTCGGGACACTAGCCCCGTCGTACGGGTCTGGTTGTCTTCTGCGTTCCTTGTGACGTTTTCTCGGCGACGGCTGGAATGTGATGATTTTCGCCGCCCTGCAAGGATTATTGTCCAGCAGCGCCTTGAGTATGTGAAAGAGGCAAAGCACCCTCGCATTGGTGTTTTCTTGGTCCGCTCGGACCTGTTGACCAGTGTAAGTTTCTCGACTTGGTTTTCCTTTGCTTTGCAGAGGTGGGTGATGAAATCATGAACCTTTGTTTGGCCAGGTGTCTTCGGTCAACGCTTCGACCTCTGCTTGTACTTTGGTTCTGCGAGACCAGACCCCCCCCCCAATATCGAGAGGGGGGGAACTACTGCGTGAAATGCCTGGGTGCAACCAGCCGGCACCAGTGCGCGGAGTCGTGGACTGTGGTAGGGCGCGTCAAATGATTATTTGGAATATGGGAGTGGGGTGTTTGGTCAGACATGTCCTGTCGCCCATCCATTATCGCAGCGTGGACTCGCTGCAATATTTGCTTGGCCTCTGCACTCTGTTCAGTCTGCTCCGTGTCAATCCCCCGATTGGAGTACAGTCGGACCGAGGTACAAGATCGAGGCCGTCGCGGGAAGGGTACCCTGATGTTCGTCGTGTTTGTTGGATGTTCTTGTGCATCCTGGGGGAGGGTACCCTCGAATGCTGTTCGTTTTGGCCGGCGGAGTGTCTCATGTTGTTGAAGGATGTTATTTTGGCCTAGGTCCGATTGTAAGGGCGTGTTCCTTACCCGAGTCTCAATCTCCTTCCCCCGTTTCTCCTCCTCCCTCCATTCCTTTCCCTCCTCCTCCTCCTCCTTCTCCTCCTCCTCCTCCTCCTCCTCCTTCTCCTCCTCCTCCTCTCCTCCTCCTCTCCTCCCCCTTCTCCTCCTCCTTCTCCTTCTCCTCCTCCTCCTCCTCCTCCTCCTCCTCCTCCTCCTCCTCCTCCTCCTCCTCCTCCCCCTTCTCCTCTTCCTTCTCCTTCTCCTCGCTCCTTCCTCATCCCACCTCCCTCACTTCCTTCCCCCTCTATCTCCCTGCCTTCCTTCATCTCCACCCGTCCTCTCTTCCTCCGAATGTTTCCTCCTTATCTCCTCCCTCGGTCCGCTCCTTCTCCCCGCCCTCCCCCCTTCTCGCGAGGAGTTTGGGACGGAGGCAGGCTTGACAGCAGGCCAGCTCATGCTTGAGCGCCGCGCAGGGCAGAAGCACGCCGTGCACCTGCAGACCCCACGCGAGAGGCCGGAGGCGCTGCAGCTTCACGAATTCGATGTGGGCAGCTACCCGAGGGGCGCAGGCAACGTCCTGGTCATTCGCCGCCCTCCCCTCACGTCCAAGCTGCGGTTTCACATCAGGGCCCTGTCGCACTCGTGCTTCGTGCCGAGTCGGGGGGACACCCGCTGGCTCCTCGTCACCTCCCTCTCCCTGCTCCTCTTCCCTCCCCTCCCTCTGACCCCCCTCCTTTCCCTTCTCGTGATCCTCCTCCTCCTCCTCCTCCTCCTCCTCCTCCTCCTCCTCCTCCTCCTCCTCCTCCTCTCCCGCCTCCTCCTCCTCCTCCTCCTCCTCCTCCTCCTCCTCCTCCTCCTCCTCTGCAGCGGCTGCGTGCAGCATCTCGGCCGCAGCGCTGGGCCGAGGGCACGGGCAGCACCCTCCAGCGCCACCAGCCGGCTCCCCCTTGGCGTGACCTGTGGCGGGCACGCTTTCTCTCCGCCGTCTCGCGCGGCGCCGCCGTGCCGTGCCGCGGCTTTCCAGACCTCGCCACGCGCCACGACGGCTTCGCCCTCGTCGTCACCCGAACAGCCGCTCCCCGCCGTCGCAGCCGTACAGGGGGCCGCATGCGAACCCTAACCCCTACCCCCCACGATTTCTGAGGGGGAGGGTGGGGTTCACTTCGTTCGGGAGCTCCCGAGCGAAGTGAACCTCACCCTCCCTCTCAGAAATCGTGGGGGGTAGGGGTTAGGGTTCGCATGCGGCCCCCTACCGTAGTCTCGCGGGCGTCTCGCGGGGCGTCGGGTTCTCGTGCTCGCTGCCGCCTTCTCCTCCTCCCTTTGTTCCACGACCGCCCGTCCCTGTGCCTCCCCATCCCGGTTTCTTCTCGCTCTCCTCCTCCTCTCCGTCTTCCCTTCCTCTCCTTCTCCCGCTTCCCCTCCCTCTCGCAGTCCTCCTGCTCCCGCTCCCCTCCCGTTCCTCCCCTCCTCGCTCCCAGTCTTCCCCTTCCTCTTGGGCCGTCTTGGCGCCCTCTTGGGCCGTCTTGCGGCCCTTCCTTGGGGCCTCTGGGACCGTCTTTGGGGCGGAGCCAGGGCCGCTAATAATCATACAGGCCCTTTCGCTCTCAGGCTTGTTGCATGGACCTCGGGGCACTCCACTACTTTCGGAAGGCGAGAGGATCTGTATATCATATATTTAAACCAATGCCCCCCCCCTCCCCCCCCCCTCGTGAGCGTCCCCCACCTCATGAACATCTAGGGGCCACTCCCGGTACCGCGCCCCCGGGCCTCCCAGGGAGGCCCCAAAACGCCCCAGGACAGCCCAAGACGCCCCCATGGAGCCCCCAGAACGCGAAAGGACGGCCCAAGACGCTCCCAAGCAGCCCAAGACAGAGTTCCGAAGGCTCTCCAGGCTGGCAGGAGGCCTTCAAGAGGCCCCAAGAGAGCTCCGAGAGGCGTCCCGAGAACGCCCGAAGAGGCCAAGATCTATGTTTTTCACTGTTGTTTGTTTGGTTTTCAACCTTCTCGCATTTTCGAGCCTCCAACGCTCCAGGACGGCCGGACAGGCCCCCAAGACCGCCCAAGACGGCTACAAGACGGCTCAAGAAGGCCCCAAGACGACCCAAGCGCGCCCTGGAGCAGCCCAAGAGGGCCCGAAATGCCGCCCAACAGGGGGTACGCAAATCGACAATCCCAGCTTTCCGCTCCAAGAGGCCCCCAGCAGGCCCCAAGAGTCTCCCAAAGAGCCTGAAGAGGCCCCCGAGAGTTTCGAAGAGGCCCAAAAGTGGCCCCAAGAGGACATGGCCCGAAAAGCCGCCCAACAGGGGGAACGCAAATCGACAATCCCGGCTTTCCGCTCCAAGAGGCCTCAAGGAGGCCCCAAGAGTCTCTCAAAGAGCCTGGGGAGGCCCCCGAGAGTTTCGAAGAGGCCCAACATTGGCCCCAAGAGGCCCCCAAACAGCCCCCCAGCGGCCTCCAAACTGCCTCCCAAGAGCCCCCTGTACGCCTCTTAGGCTCCCTCCGGTTCCTGTTCACTACATGTTGCGAGGCCCCACTTGAACAAAAATAAGGAAGTCCAGTGATTTTTATTTGTTCAAGTTCACCCTGAGACCCATTCAGACTTCGGGGTCACATTGCACAGTTTTTTTCGGGAATGCTGTTGAACTTTCTGACGCTGTCTTGGTACTCTCTTGGGTCGTCTTCGTGTCATCTTGGCTGTCCCTGAAACCACAGTAAACATCGAGCTCCCATGAGTTCACCTGTCCAGCCTAGCTAGAACGACAGCGCGCGCGCGCCAAGAAGGAGACCAAAGAGGGGACCTCCGAATGCCTCACGAGCGCTTTGCCCCAAGGTGGCCCCAAGGTTCTTCCAGAGGCTCTCGAGGCGCCCCCCAGATGCCTGCGGAGACTCACGGAAGACTCTCGGGAAAGTTTCGTGCTTTGCCTCAAGATGGATCCAAGAGGTTCTCGCAAAGGCTCTCGAGGCGCCCTCCAGATGCCTTCAGAGACTCCCGGGAGGCTCCCAGGAGGCACCAAGAGCTTCCGAAGAGGCCCGAGGCCCCGAAAGACTCCCAAGACGCCGCCAAAAGGCCCCAGAGGTGTCCCAACAGTCCACGGCCTGTATCCAGGAAGCTTATGACCCACGGCCCAGGCATGGGAATTTGGAAAAAAGGGAATCCCAAGAATTTCTCTTTTTCAGCTAACCCCCTGTTTATTTTTGCACAACAGACCTAATTAGGGCCCCCGTCACCACCGAAGAAAGATCCCAGCAAGCTTTCGAGGGCCCCAAACCATCGAACTCCTGAAGGAAATGTATGATTGTATGGCTTCCGCATTTCCCCTTCTATACGCTTCCGAGGCTTGCGCAGGGACTCCAAGGTCGTTAGATGAACAAGGCACTTCAACAATTGATATTCAATGCGTTAGCCTGTCGAGCCTAGCTAAAACTTGAGCGCGCGCGAAGCGCGCGATGGTTCTAGTATCTGTATATGTCCGTACGTACGTACGTATGCGTGCATGCATGCGTACATGCATATATGTATGTCATGTATGTACATATGTATGTATGTTTGTGTATGGCTTTGTGCATGATTATATTTGTACGCCCGTGTGCTTGAATGTATGTATGGGTCGATATATGAAGGCATGTGTTTGCATGTGTATATATGTATGTATACATGTATGTATGCCTATATGTATGCATGTGTGTTTGTTTGTATGTATGTACGTATGTATGTATGTACGTACGTGGGTGTAGGTGCGTATGCACATACGTAAGTATATAGGTGTAGATGTGTGTATGCGTGCATGTGTGTATGTTTGTATGTGTATAGGCGTGTATGTGTATGTGTGCAGTTGTGTATGTTTGTATGTATGGGTGTGTATGTGTGTATGTACGATTGCATGTATGTCTGTCTGTCTGTATGTCCGTATGACCGTGTGTCTGTATGCATGTCTCTCTGTATGTATGCATGCATGCATGCATGCGTGTATGCATGGATGCATGCATGCATGTACGCGTGAATGTATGAATGAATGATTGTATGTACGCATGCATGCATCTATGTTTATCTGTTTGTATGTATACGCAAATGTATGTATGCATCTTTGTTTTGGCTGTCCGTCCGTCTGTCGTCGTCGCTGTCGGGTTTCCCTGGAACTGCACGCCCGCCAGGGGCGAGTTTCGCTTCGGCTGCGCTCTGGGTCGCGTCGGCCACCGCCACTGTCGCTGTCTCCGTCACCCCGGTCGGTGGCCCTGACGAGGGGTTGTGGGCGGCTGTGGCAGTGCCGAAGCGCGCCCGTGGTCCAGAAAGGCATGAGGGTGCAAACCCGACTTGTCTGGCTGCTGCTCTGGGGGGGGGGGGCTGTGCTCAGGGGAGGCTGCAGCACTGCTCAACGACGTGCTGTTAACCGGACCTGCAGGGTGGGCCCTTCCCTGATAGGGAGGGATGTCACCCCGATCTTCTGCCTCGGCCATCGTTGGCCTCGCTGGAGGTTCGCGCAATATTTCTATTCATATATTTTGATATGGCTTGGAACCACAGAAACAGCCCCCCCTAACAAATTTGGCCCACCCAGGGCCTCTCGGGCAACCCTCCAGACGACCCAGGAGAACCCCGCGAGAGCCCGAAGACTGCCCGAGAGGGCTCCAGGACTTCCGGCGCACTCCCGAAACGACCCCAGAGAGCCCCAAGACGTGCCACGACGGCCCCAACGAAGCCGTCATGCCCCCAAAGATCGCGCCAAAACGTCCCAACAGGCCTCCAAGAGCACTCCCGAGAAGGCTCCAAGTTCCAAATCTCATTGATTTTCTATCGGTTTTTGGTGAATTTTGGGGTTCTCCTCTTTTCGGCTTCCCGACGCTCCAACATGGCGGTCTTCTGTGCGTCCGAAGCCGCCTGAGAGGCTTGAAAATCGCCCCACAACCATCCGAAAGGGCTTCCACGCAGTCTAAGAGAGCCCCAAGACGGCACATCAGGTTTCCAAGATAGCCTAAGAGAGCACCATGACGGCCAAAGATGTCCCCAAGACGCCCTCCCAAGCATTCCAAATCGTGACCTGGTCATTCAGGAACACCGCGGTCGGATCAGCCAGGCTGGTATCGACCCCCTTCGCCATCCTCTGCAACAGATGTTATATGCGCGCGCACTCGCTGGTGAAGCATACGTTTCCAATAATCCTTTGCAACACATGAAACGAGGTGCACACGCGCACGTCGTCGCGCGCGCATGCCGAAATCCTTCAAACAGTTCTAGGTATCGTACGGATTTCAAAGCCGAGGGTCCACAAAATATATAACAGCACATGGCTTCGCAACATCAGTGTTCAAGGAAAAACGGCGCTCGCGCTCTTGCGAATTCTCCAGGAATCCATACGTTGTTCAACATGTTCATTGAATTCTGCCAAACGCGCCCCTAGCGCCGCATGTCGACATCATTCGAACGCCCTTGCGCGCGTGGTGGTGGGGGCACGAGCCGCGTCAAATACAGTCGGGGCCCTGAAGAAGGAACCCTTTTGGTTGGGGAGGGGCTCCGCGTTCCTTCAGTGTTTCGCAGCTTGCCTCAGGCTTTCCTTATGTTTTCTACCGGAAGTCGAAGTTTGACCCATGGAAAAAAGGGGCCTCGCTCCTGATTTCGGGTTCCTTAGGTCAACGCCCCGACGGTAACACCATGCGATCCGCTCGCGCGCGTCGGCCGCGCGCGCATTTCGAACTCCCTCCGAAACCTTCATCGCCGACGCGAGGACGCCGTCATCGTCGTCGGCGTGATAAGCATCGGCGCCGTCGCCGCTGTCATCATCGTCACCAGCATCGCTACGATCATCCTCGTGCCTGCCGTTGTCGACGTTGCCATGATACCGCGCCCGCCCAAGTCGCCGACTCGCAGTGAAGTGCCTGCTGGGGTGTGCCCAGCGGTCAGCGCCACCGCGGCCGCGTCGGTCGCGGCAGAAACTAGGTGGCCGCTGCGCGCGCGAGCATGCGCGGGCTAACGCGGCCGCAGAAATGCACCCGCCAACATCATCCACTCATCGCAGTCGTCGCCGCATGGGTTTTGCAAACCAAGTTGCGGGTGGGTGGGTGGGATGTTTGCGCGAGCAGTGGATTTGTCAATTTCAAGTTCGGCCAGGCAAGTGGCACCACATATATTGCACCACACTTTACATGTGATTCTGCCCCATCGTCCATCTTATCCTTGAATTCACACCATCCCAGGCAGGCCGGTATCGCCCCTCGTTTTATTCTTTCCCCCAAAAACTATGCGCGCGCATTCGTTGATCAAACATCGATCCTTTTCAAAGAATGGGACGAAGTGCGCGCGCGAGTTTTCGCGCGCGCATGCCATAATCCATCAAACACCGTCGGCTTCGCAAGGATTTCAAAGTCGAGCGACCCGAACACAGAATTAAAACGCATGGTTTCGCAACAAGAGTTTTCTAAACTAACTTGCGTTCGCGCTTCTGCGTTATATATATATATATATGTATATGTACATGTATATGTATATGTATATATGTCTATGTATGTATGTATAGACACACATATTCTTTAGGATATTAAAATGCGTTGGCGACGTACCCAACCCCTGCGCAATGCGGGGCACGATTAGCCTGGGACACGTTATACAGAAGAGATGACGTGACATGGACGCATCTAGTTCTGCGAACGGCAGTCGTGATGCTCGCAGGCCCCCAGAGATGGCGAGGTCCAGCTCAGATGTGCGTGTGGTGCCTCACATCGTTGGACCCACCAGCAGCCCTCGAAAGTGGCGACAGATTCGCGGTTCGCAGCCCGCCCAGGGACCGCGAGGTCTACTTCAGATCTGCGTGGTGCCTCACTCCGCTGGGCCCACCAGCGGCCCTCGAAAATGGCGACAGTTTCGCAGATCGCAGCCCGCCCAGGGACGGCGAACTCTACCTCAGATCTGCGTGGAGCCTCACTCCGCTGGACCCACCAGCAGCCCTCGAAAGTGTCGACTGTTTCGCAGATCGCACCCCCCTAGGGACGGCGAGGTCCATCTCAGATCTGCGCGGTGCCTCACTCCGCTGGACCCACCAGCAACACTTGAACATGGCGACAGTTTCGCAGATCGCAGCCCGCCCAGGGACGGCGAGGTCTACCTCAGATCTGCGCGGTGCCTCAAACCGCTGGACCCACCAGCAGCCTTCGAAAGTGGCGATAGCTTCGCAGATCGCAGCCATCCAGGGACGGCGAGGTCTACCTCAGATCTGCGCGGTGCTTCACTCCGCTGGACCCACCAGCAGCCTTCGAAAGTGGCGACAGTTTCGCAGATCGCAGTCCCCATCCCCAGGACGGCGAGGTCTACGTCAGATCTGCGAGGTGCTTCACTCCGCCGGATCCACCAGCAGCCCTCGAAAGCGGCGACCGTTCCGCAGATCCCCCCCCCAGGGACGGCGAGGTCTCGCGGGAGACAGGAGGCGGCAGGCAGGAGGAAAAGGAGGAAGACGCGACCGCGGCGCTCTATTCAAAAACGAATACCCAACCAAGGATGGTTGGGGAACAAAAAACAAAAACATAGGTTATCAGCAGTTCCACAAAATGCTACCAAACGGGCCTTTCGCGCGCACATATCGCAATCGTTGGAACGTCCGTGCGCGCGTGCTGCCGTAAGGATCCCTTGTGCAAAACGGGGCGACATGCGCACGCGCACGTCGTCGCGCGCGCATGCCGCAATCCTTCAACACCCTCAGGTGTCGTAGACCGAACGTCCTGATCACATCTTAAGAACCTGGTTTTGCAACGCCAGTTTTCAAACACATGCTTGCGCTCGCGCGTTCGTTTATTCTTACGACAACCATAAGTTGCCAAAAGTCACATGCCATTCTGCAAAGCGAGCACCTGGCGCCGCATGTCGAAATCATTCGAGCGCCCTTGCGCGCGTGGTGGGGAGCCCGAGCCGTGCCAAATAATACCATGCGGGCCACTCTCGCGCATGCCGAACTCCTTCCTGAGTTTTCATTACCGACGCGAAGACGTCGTCATCGTCGTCGGCGTGGTAAGCATCGGCGCCGTCATTGGCCTTGCCGCCGTCGTCATCGGCGCCGTCATTAGCATGGCGCCGTCATTCGCCTTACCATCGCCGCCAGTATCGGTACGATCATCCTCCTGTCTACCGTTTCGAAGTTGCAATGCTACCGCGCTTGCCCAAGTCGCCGACTCGCAGTGAAGTCCCTGCTGGGCAGTGCCCAGCGGTCAGCGCCACCGCGGCCGCGTCGGTCGCGCCAAGCTAGCTGGTCACTGCGCGCGCGAGCATGCGCGGGCTAGCGTGGCCGCAGAGCTTTTCCACCCAGCACTAAGCACTCATCGCAATCGCCACAGCATGGGCTTACGCACGCCAGTTTGCGAGTAGGTGGGTGGGGTGTTTGCGCGAGCAGTGGGCTTGACAACCCGCTGCGAGCAAACCTTACTTACACCACATAGGTTGTAGTACACCAGTTGCACCAACTGTTTTGCACAACGTCAGCGGCACAGCATCAATGGCACAACATAGGTTGCACAACATAGGTCGCACCTCACATGTTTCACCACACAGCTTGAAATGCTCAAACATGTAAGGCGCCACACAGGCCACACCACATAGACTGAACACAACAACGTCGACTGCCAGGAGCACACTGTTTGGGGCCCGCGCTGGCTGACGCTAGCACTGTGCTGGTATTCCATAGAAAAGCAGGCAGCTGCCTATAAGGCAAGTCCAGCCTCCGTGCCTGGGTTGCGGGTATGAAACCTATTGGATGGTTTTCGGGATCTCGGGGGAGGAATTTCGGGGGGCCTCGTGGAGGCAGTTTTGAGGTCTATCGGGGGCCGCTTGGGGGCCTGTTATGGCCTCTTTTTGGTCTCTTCCTGGGACATCTTGGGCCCCTCATGGGGCGTCTTGGGCGCCTCTCGGGTCGTCCTGGGTGCTTCTTGGGGCGGGAGGCTTGGCTGGACTTTCGGTTCGTGTTCCCTCCCTTGGGCCTGTTTGGGGGCCGTCTATTTTCCCTCTGAGGCCGTCTTGGGCGCCTCTTGGCGGTCCTGGGGCCTTCTTGGAGGCCTCTTGAGCGATTCGGGGATGGGCTGAGGGGGCCTCTTAGGAACGTCGGAGAACTGAAAAGGCGAGAACGCTAATTTTTGCCTCTTGGGGCGTTTTGGGGGCCCCTTGGGCCATCTTGAAGCCATCTCGGGCGTTTTCGAGCGATCGTTTGGCGATTCGGCGCCCGCTTGAACCGTCTTGGGGGCCTCCTGGGCCGTCATGGAAGCCTTGGCGAGCCCCAGGGAGACGCCATGGCCGCCCAGGGACCCCCTGGTCATAGGGGCGATGCAGCCAGGGAAGTGCATGCCGCAGAGGGTGGGGCCCTTAGGATACTACAGAAAAGCCCTGCCAGGCAGCCCGTGGCGTTCTTCCACGCCTCATCGTGCCTCAGGCACGGTGGCGGATATTGGCGATGAGGTCCCCCCTCCTCCTCCTCCTCCTCCTCCTCCTCCTCCTCCTCCTCCTCCTCCTCCTCCTCCTCCTCCTCCTCCTCCTCCTCCTCCTCCTCCTCCCCCGAGCCGTGGGCCCAGGACCTGCGGGAGCGCGTCGACGCGGCCCACGCGCGCGTGCTGGAGGTCCCGGGCCTGCTGGGCGCTGCATGATGGGCCTGTTTTCCACCACCACTGCCATCAGTTGGAGGGGGGAAGGAGGAGGACGAGGAGGAGGAGGAGGAGGAAGAGGAGGAGGAGGAGGAGGAGGAGGAGGAGGAGGGAGGAGGAGGAGGAGGAGGAGGAGGAGGAGGAGGAGGAGGAGGAGGAGCCCCCTCCCCCTCCAGCATGTGGTGGCGGTGGTGGAAGACGGGCCCATCACTGCAGGGGGGGGGCACCTCGGGACGCTCCGGCGCCCGCGGGCGCCCCCCCCTGAGGCCATCGGGGGCCTCTGGGCGGCGGGCGAGCCCCCGTGCGGCCTCGACGAGTACCGCTGGGCCGCGCGCGCTCGTCGTCCTCGTCGTCCTCGTCGTCGTCCTCGTCGTCGTCGTCGTCGTCGTCGTCGTCGTCGTGGTCGTCGTCGTTGTTTTGTGTTTTAACTTGTTGCTTTTGTTGTTTGCTGGTTGTTCCAATCCCCTAATCTTCCCCCTGTAGTCCCCTCCCAGATGGGGTCGGAGCAGATGGGGTCGGAGGATCGCGCCGCATCGCCGATGCATCACCGATTCGGCTCGATGTAAGCCCGACTTCCTCCGCGCCGATGGCTCTGATGCACCGCCCATGCATCAGCGATGCATCAGCAATGCGGCGCGATCCTCCGACCCCATCTGCTCCGACCCCATCTGGGAGGCCGAGGGACGTCGTCGTTCCCAGGTCTTTGGTGTTTACATCGTGTCCTTCCACTCCCGGCGCTCCTCGTCGGTGTTTGTCGGGCCCCGGGGCCCGCTGTCGGGCCTCTGGGCCAGCAGCGTCGGGTCCGGGTCGAGCAGCTGCACCCGGGGAGAGCGGTCGGGGCATCCCTGCGCCGAGGTTTTAGGCATCCATCGCATCGTCGGGTGTCCGGGCTGTTGCTGCCGTGGTCGCCGCCTCTGCCGCCGTGGTCGTCGTCGTCTTGGCCGTGGTCGTGGTCGCGGTCGTGGTCGTCGTCTTGATCGTCGTCGTCGTCGTCGTCGTCGTCGTCGTCGCTTGAGGTCCGAGGAAGCTGTTTGGGCAGTGTCCAGCCCCTCGCGGGCCTCCGGGGGCCTCCAGGAGCCTCCAGGAGGCCAGGAGGCCTCCCGTTGCCGTCGTCGTCGGCTCGTCGCTGGCGTCGCTGTCCTCCAGGCTTGAGGGGGATCAGTTGGAGGAGGCGGGGGGGGGAAGATGCGCACCAGGAGGACTACATTCGAAGAGCCAAACACGCCACAAACATAAACTTTTGGCGCTCCGCACGGATTTTTTGGCCCCCCTGGCGGCGCCCCCGGCGCCGCCCCTGACGCGCTCCGCGCGCCAGTGGGGGAGGGGTCCAGCGCGGATTCAAGAAATCCGCGCGGAGCGCTAAAAGTTTATGTTCATGGCGTGTTTTCTGCTTCTCTACATGCCACCAACAGTTACAAGTCTGGTCGCAAGGATAGAGTCTCCGCTGGGCGGCTGTCAACGACTGGCTGTCACTGCCCTTGCCCTTCACAGCTTGTTTGTCAAGTTGGGCGGCTCCTGCAGCAGAAAGGAATCTTTGTAGGGGCTTGTGACGCAGGGACTTGGGACGGGAGGCAGCATCGTTGATGCATCTCGGCTTTACTCTGGTCCTCCTTCTCTCCTTCTCCTCCTTCTCCTACTTTTCATTCTCTCTCCTCCTCCCCCTTCTTCCCCCCGCTTTCATCATATTCTCTGTTCCTCCTCGTCCTTCTGATGCTTCTGTTCCTACTCCTGCTCCTCGAGTTCTTTCCAGAGGTCGTCGAGGGCTCCAGGAGGCCTCCAGAGTTGCCTGGAGGTCTCTGGAGGCCCAAACACGGCGGCAACTTTAAGCAATAGAAGTTTTCGTTTGTTTTTTCTTTACTCTCCTCCGACGGCGACGGCTCAGCAAGAGAGGCGCGGTGCGTGCTAAACTCGCGCCAGTTCGGGGGCACCGCCATCGCCCACTCTGCGCACCTGGGAATGCTGGTTCCAGGCACCGCGCCATCGTCGTCGTTGCCGTCTTTGTCGCCGCCGTGGGAGGAGGAGGAGGAGGAGGAGGAGGAGGAGGAGGAGGAGGACGGGGTGATGGTGTTGCACGCACCACGACCACTCACCACGACCACGGCCAAGTTCCGAGCAGAGCAACACGCACTACGACGACGACGACGACGACCACGACCGAGAAGAGGCGCGCGAACGATCCGCACCGAAGCACACATCTGGGAGAGGGCCCACCCCGCGACGGGAAGGCTGGGGGACAGCTCTCGCCTTCTCGTGTCGGTCCTGCCACCGACGAGTGGAATCCATGCCCGGCTGCGTGCCCTCATCCCCCGGGCGACCCTCGGGCCAGAATGTGCCCACGGCTCGACGTTGAGCGAGCAGCGTCGGGAAAGGAGGAGGAGGAGGAAAGAGGAAAGAGGATGATGATGATGATGATGATGATGATGATGATGATGATGATGGTGGTGCTGATGCTGATGATGCTGATGATGATGATGGTGGTGCTGATGATGATGGTGGTGCTGATGATGATGCTGATGATGATGACGATGATGATGCTGATGATGATAATGATGATGATGATGATGAGGATACTGATGATGCTGATGATGATGCTGAGGATGATGTTGCTGAGGATGATGATGCCGATGATGATGCTGATGATGTTAATGATTCTGATGCCGATGATGATGACGATGATGCTGATGCTGATGATGATGCTGAGGAGGATGCTGAGGATGATGATGCTGCTGATGATGCTGATGATGCTGGTGTTGCAGATGACGATGATTATGATGATGATGATGATGATGATGATGATGATGATGCGGATGATGATGATAATGATGCTGCCGATGATGCTGATGATGCTGATGATCATGGTGACGATGCTGATGATCATGATAATCATGATGCTGTTGAGGATGATTATGGTGATGATGATGATGCTGATGATGATGATGACGATGATAATGATGATGATGATGATACTGATGATACTGATGATGATCATGATGATGATGCTGATGATGATGCCGATGATGATGCTGATGATGCTGATGATGATAATGATGATGCTAAGGATGATGCTGATGATGCTGATGACGATGATGATGCAGACGATGATAATGATGACGATGATGCTGCTGATGATGGCCCTGCTGATGATGCTGAGGATGATGATGATGATGATGACGATGATGATGATGCTGAGGATGATAATGATGATGCTGCAGTTGATGATGGTGATGATGGTGATGATGCTGTTGATGATGATGACGATGATGACGCTGATGATGATAATGATGATGATGTTGAGGATGATGCTGATGATTCTGATGATGATGATACTGATGCTGAGGATGATGAAGATGACGATGATGATGATGCTGATGATGATACTGATGATGATGCTTAGGATACTGATGATGATGATGATGATGATGATGATGATATGATGGTGACGATGATGATGCTGATGATGATACTGATGATGCTGAGGATGATGATGATGATGATGCTGATGATGTTTATGATGCTCAGGATAATGATGATGATGATGATGATGATGATGATGATTCTCATTATGATGATGCTGATGATGATGATGATGAGGATGATGATGATGATGATGCTGATGATGATGATGATGATGATGATGATGATGATGATGATGATGATGAGGAGGAGGAGGAGGAGGAGGAGGAGGAGGAGGAGGAGGACGAGGAGGAGGAGGACGAGGAGGAGGAGGAGAAGGAGGAGGAGAAGGAGGAGGAGAAGGACGAGGACGGGCGACTTGTAGGGCCGGCAGCGGCTGCTGCCTCCTCGGTGTTGCGTCGGGCCTGGAGCAGCAGGCCCAGCTTCGTGCTCCTGTGCCCCAGGGTGCTTCCCGGCCCAGAAGGCCCACGGTCGGCGCGGCGGCGGCCCCCGCGCGGGCGCTCGGGGCTCGGAGCGCCGCCAGGTCCGAGGAGGAAGCGCTAGCGACGCCGCTGCCGCTGCCCTCCTCCTCCTCCTCCTCCTCTCCTCCTCCTCCTCCTCCTCCTCCTCCTCCTCCTCCTCCTCCTCCTCCTCCCCCTCCTTGTTGGGGGCTCGTGGGGTGCCCTCGTCGCCACGGCTGGATCCGCCTCGAGGTCCCGGTCGGCGTGCGCCCCTGGAGAGGCCCAGGGGGCAGCGGCGCCGGTGCCTCTTCGCCCCCCCCCGCCAGTGGAGGGAAGCGGCCGGCACCGGACGACGGGCGCCGGCGGAGCGCCTCGAAGCAAGGGAGGCCCAAGCGAGCCACGCGGTCCGCGAGGCCGGCGCCGACGCCGACGCGCGTCGTGCCTCCCAGCGGCCTTCTCCTCCGCAGCTCCTGGCAGTCCCCGCGAGGCTCGTCCTTGAAAGGGGGGCCAAGGTTCGACGGCGCGCTCAGCGCGCTCATGACATCTTGTGTGTAGCGAGCGCGGTGCCAGCAGGCATCAGGGATAACAGAAAAATGAGCCGACCGCCAGTCCAGGCCTCGAGGTCCCCCCCTGCTCGAGCAAGCGATGATTTATTGTTTTGCCGGGGAGCGTTCGGAACAAGGCGCATGGCGCGAAACGCCAATGCAGTCTTGTATATGGATATGTATATATACATATATAAATATGTATATATCTATATATGGTGCTGATCCTGGATCCAGATGACCTTGTTTGGATGCCACTGGGGTTAACCAGCGGCTTGCGCCGACTGCCCCCTGCAACGCAGCTCACGCAACCAAGCGCAAGACAAACGCAGAGAAGACTCTCCCTTCCGTCCCCCCCCCGCATTCCCTTGGCATCGCTCGGACGTGTGCATTTTTTCTCGGCGTGGACCATCGAGGATCCTTTTGGGTCCCCCTGCGACAAAAGGCACGCGCGAAGCCGACAACTGCACGGGGAATGAACGTCCGAGCGACGGCAAGCTCCTCGTCTTCACCCCTCCCTCGCGGGCTCCTCCTCCTCCTCCTCCTCCTCCCCTTCTTTTCCTCCCCTCCTCCCCCGTTTGGCCCCCTACTTGCGAACGCGTTGCTGGGCCGGCTTCGTGACCATGCCCACCTCCCTCTGTCAATCCCGAAACTCGCTTTCATGGTCTCTGAAAGTGAGGCGGGGGATGCACTGGCTTCTTGTCGCCCAGCTTGCGCGGGCTCGCCGCCTTGAAGCTCGAAATCTTGGGGTGGACTTCGGTGTGGGAGTTGGCCGTGGTTGTAAGAGAAGCGTCATCAAGTCCAGACTAAAGAAGGTCCGTTCTCGCGCGGGACGGGTCGGGTATGCAATTTTGCCACAGGTATGCAGGGGACAAATCGTTTCCCCCCGTTTTCTTAGCCGACTCGTGAATTCTGGTCTGAGCCTTGCTGCTTTCTATGGAGGTTTCATCACTGGCCTCATCCGGGCTATTTTCACACCGCCGTAGGTCCACGGCCTTGCAGGTCAGTTACTGTGGACCTGGCCCTCACGTACAACGTGCGGGATCTAGTGGCCACCGTGCACCACGACACCATCCTCATGTGGCTGTCTTGTCGTTGGGATTCGATTGTACCGCGTGCCGTTATGGACCACACAATGCAGTAAGCTACTGATCCAGTTTCTCGGGCTGCTGGATGGAGTACTTTATCTGGTCCTGCGGCAGTGGTGTTTGCATCGTTGATCCGAGTCGGCGTGTCTCATGCGTGATCTTGCGTACCTCCTTCCCCCTCCCCTCCATGAGCTCTCCCACGAATGAGTCCTTCTAGGCCCCCGCGAGCGTGTCTTTACTTCCCCAGCTTTCGGGGATGGATCTGGATTGGATGAAGACTCCAACTTCACTGCCAGGTGTGGTTGGGGAGTCGTATGCCCGGATGCCCGCAACCGCGTTCAAGTCGGAGCGTGTGGCTCTCTCCCACTTCCTGTGCAATCTGTGCCGGCAGCTGAACTGTTTGCATGCTTGTTTGAGCTGTCGTGTTGCCGTCCGAACCCTCAGGGTTCAGTTGAATTTTGCAGTGATTGCGAATGGGTCGTCGATTCATGGCTTAAGCCCTAAGCCCAAATATGTGTAGGAAATGCCGTCCGTTGCGATGTATGGTCCAAAGTTCATGCCCAAGCCGAGGACATCGGGTATGACCGAATTCGCGTGGTCAAGGTGGCCGCTCACCATTCTCCCGATGGCTTGTATGGTCATGATTTGTTTCTTTCCAGTGGCAAATCCCATGCCGACACATACGCGAAATGAGGCGCGCGGATTCACCCTCAGTATTCGCACGCCGCGACGAGGATCCAGCAAGTCGAGTTGCTGATTTGGAGCCTGGCTATTTGCCTTGGTAGGGTTATTGCACGGTCCGAGATCCTTGGTTTGTTCCTCCAGTTACCGTGGTCGGCCCGGCTGAGGCCACTCCTCACTTTGTGGTGCACGACCTTGCCACCAATAGATATAGGCGCACATATTGTTCGTCTTCCAATTAGCACCGATGAGAATTGGCAAAGCAGCCGTGCCCCATGCCACATGGGACAGGCCGCGTCGTGCGACGAGTGAGGCAATTTGCATTCTCCCGTCAATATGGCGCCCAGTCGTCGACCAACGTCTCCCGCCTAGCCAGGCTTTGTCTCAAGAGACCATCTTCTGACATCAAACATATCGCCTGTAGCATTTGATGGACGGGCGACGCCTAGGACAGGAGCCAAAACTGGTGATGCCCATCTTGAGGGAACGGCCATTCAAGGTAATTGCGAAGGCCTTACGGCCGTTGCCGCCGACCCTGAAGATGACGAAAGACAACACGAGGGGGGGGGCAGGAGGAGGAGGAGGAGGAGGAGGCGGAAGGGAGTAGGAGGAGGAAGGGTGAAGGGGGAGGAGGAGGAGGCCTTACGGATGTTGGTTGGGATCTAATGGTTGACCTCTCGGGGGCGTCTGGAAGGCAACTTGAAGCCTCTTGGGGGCCGTTGTGGGGCCTCTTGGGGCCTCTTTTGGGCCTCTTGGGGCTTCCGGAGGCCGTCTTCGGCGCATCTTGGGGGCGTCTTGGCGCCGCTCGGGGGCCTCTTGGGGCCTTTTGGGGGCCTCTTGGGGCTTCCCGGGGGCCTCTTAGGGCGGAAGTCTCGAATTCTCGGTTCCTCGTCCCCCTTTTGGCCGTTTCTTGGGCCCGTCTTGGGGCCCTATTGGGCCGTCTTGGGCGCCTCTTAGGCTGTCCTGGGGCCTTCTTGGGCCGTCTTGGGGCCCTCTTGTAGGCCTCTTGGGGCGCTCTTGGGGGCCTCTTGGGGCCTCTTGGGCCGTCTTGGAGTGTCGGAAAGCCGAAAAGGCGAGAAGGCCAAAATCCTTCAAAAACCTATGTAAAATTGACGATTTTGGCGACTGGGGCCCTCTTGGGTGTGCTCTTGGGGCTCTCTTGGAGCGTCTTGAGGGCCTCTTGGGCCGTCTTCGGGCCGTCTTGGGCGTCTTGGGGCCAGCGTTCGTCGAGTCGAGGCCCTCTTGTACCCTTTTGGGGGTGTCTTCTGTCGCTCTTGGCTCGTCTTGAAGCTTTTCTGAGCTCCGGGACCCCCCGGGGAGGATGCGTATCTGGGTGGCGACCCCCCCCGGGGACCCCCCCCGGCGACCCCCCCCCCCCCCCCCCCCCCCGGCGGGGAGGGTAGGGAGGGGCTTCGCCACGACTCAACTACGACGTTGCTCAATGTCGCTTTGGCTCGCGCGCTCAAGGAGACGGGGAACGACGAAGACGACGAGGGACAACGGAGACGGAGACGACGAGGACACGACGGAGACGACGACGACGACGACGACGACGACGACGACGACGACGACGACGACGACGACGACGACGACGACGACGACGACGACGACGACGACGGTGATCCACGCAAGACGACGACACCGGGATGCGTCTTCCACACGCCGACAGGGGAGCCAAAACTGGTGATGCCCATCTTGAGGGAACGGCCATTCAAGGTAATTTTGCATGGGTCACTTACACGGATCCTTGATGCATCATGTTTTTTCTCGTGTCCTCGTGGGATGCGCCAGTCTCGTGGCGCGCCAGATCCAGAATCCAGCACCCTTCCTTCGCCCCCCTCCTTCCACCCCGTTATCTTTTCGCATCCTCCTCCCCACCCCTTCTCCTCCTCCTCCTCCTCCTCTTCCTCCTCCTCCTCCTCCTCCTCCCATCCCTGGCCCTCCCGCCCTCTCTTCGTCCCGTCCGCCCTCTTTCCCTTCCGGTCCGTTCTCCTGCCCCCCCCCCGCTTCTCTCTCTCTCTCTCTCTCTCTCTCCCCTCCTTCCTCGCCCCTCCCCTCTCTCTCCCTCTCTCCCCTCCTTCCTCGCCCCTCCCCTCCCGAGGCGTGGAGTTTGCCAACCACTCGACGGAGCCTCACGCAGCCATCCGCCAGTCGCCGGACGAGGCCGCGGTGGAGCTGGTCGCTCTGCGAGAGGTCGTCGCCGCCCGCCGCCGGCAATCGACGCCGGCGACGACGCCGGCGCCCACGGCGCTAACGACGACGCCGCCGACGACGGCGCTGACACTGAGGCTGGCGCTCCTCATCCTCCTCCTCCTCCTCCTCCTCCTCCTCCTCCTCCTCCCCGTCGCCCTGCTCCTCCCTCCTCCTTCCTGCCATCACCTCCTCCTCCTCCTCCTCCCCCTCCTCCTCCTCCTCCTCCTCCTCTCCTCCTCCTCCACCTCCTCCTCCTCCTCCTTCCCTTTTCATCCTCCTCCTCCTCCCTCCTCCTCCCCCTCCTCCTCCTCCTCCTCCTCCTCCTCTGCCTCCTCCTCCTCCGCCTCCTCCGCCTCCTCCTTTTCCTCCGCCATTCTCTCCCTGACCGTCCGACCTCCGATCTGGGATTTTCTTGATGCCAGTCTGGAGGCCGGAGGTTCGGCCTCCCGAGCAGAGCGTGCCTTCGCCTCGCTTTCCGCAGGTTTAGGGTCCATGGCGCCTTTGCAGACGCCGCCGCCGCCGCCGACGGCAACCGTGGGGTGAGGGGATGGAAAAGATGAGGAGGTGATGAGGAGGTGATGTTGGTTATGGTGATGATGCTGATGCTGATCAGGATGCTGACGAGGAAGAAAAATGACGTTGATGTTATCCATGACGATGCGGATGTGATGATCATCCTGCTGACGCTGACGATGCTGATGATGCTGATGATGCTGATGGTGGTGGTGGTTGTGGCGATGATGATGTTCATGCTCTTGATGGTGAGTAAGAATGTGATGATGGTGTTGTTGTTGATGATGAGGTGGATGCTGATGAGTTAAATGATGATGATGATGCTGCTGATGCTTATGATGCTGATGTTGCTGATGGTGATGGTGGTGGTGGTGGCGATGATGACGTTCATGATGCTGGTGGTGAGTACTATGAGGATGATGGTGTTGCTGATGATGGTGATGCTGATGAGGCTGATGGTGATGATACTGATACTGATTATGATGATGCTGCTGATGAGAATGAGGCTGATGATGATGACGATGGTGATCATGATGATGATGATGATGATGATGATGATGATGATGATGATGATGATGATGATGAAGGCGATGATGAAGGCGATGATGAAAATGCTGAGGTTGTTGTTGATTAGGGTGATGCGATGATGATACTGATGATGATGATGATGATGATGATGATGATGATGATGATGATGATGATGATGATGATGATTATGATGATGATGGTGATGGTGGTGGTGGTGGTGGTGATTATGATGAGGTTGATGATGCTGCTTATGATGATGATGATGGTGGTGATGGTGATGATGGTGATGGTGATGATGGTGATGATGATCAGGAGGAGGAGGAGGAGGAGGAGGAGGAGGAACAGGATGAGGAGGGGGGGGGAGGAGTAGAAGGTTGAATGGAGGCCAACAGGTGCGAGCCCCACCCACACACCCACACACTCCAACATACTACCACAAACACCGACGACAGAGTGCGAGAATGGTGGCGCCACCACAGCCGCACGACTGTAGCAACCTGGCCACACAACGCAGCGCAGGGAACCGAAGATCACGCAGGACGATGAAGACGCAAAAGAGCAAGACACATGGGAGCCCGAGGGAAAGGTGGTCAGGAGCGGGGACCACACGCCTCGAGCCCCACGCGAACACAGCTAAAAGGAAGGACAGGAGCAGGGTCCACAACGCCAGAGCCGCGCGAGGACCTGGGGAAAGGTGACCAGGAGCAGGGGTCACACACCTGGGCACACGAAGATGAAGTTCAATGAAGCAGTGAGCTCTAAGGAAAGGTGGTCAGGAGCAGGGACCACACACCTAGTGACCAACGATGGCAGAGGACGGAGGAGAGGTGGTCAGGCCCAAGGACCACACACTCTGTTCCAAAGCCAAGGGGCAGCCTGCCCCGACCCTGGGCTCAGCGCGAGGCGCCGAAGGGAGCCCATACGTCGCTGAGAGGCCAGCCAGGCCGAAGCGGGATCGAGGGAAAGGTGGCCAGGAGCAGGGACCACATACCTCGAGCCCCGAGAGGAGTTGGGGAAAGGTGGGTAGGAGAGCCACTCCCCCACACCCCGCTTGACCTGGGGAAAGGTGGTTAGGAGCAGGGGCCACATACCCAGGTCCAGCCGAAGAGGGGACATCCGTCCTCCTCAGCGGCTGGGCTCAGCGCTGTGTGCCAGAGGGAGCCCAGCCGCAGCCGAGCGGCCAGCCTGGCCCCGGCCCACGAAGAGGCCGAAGGCCAGGCCGAGCGCCGCGCCGCGGGCGCTGCCTGACGCCCGCGGGCGCGGGCGCGCGCGGCGCCCGTCCGAGGGTTCTTTCGGGCCTTCTTTTTTTTAACCCGGCCTCTCTCCCCTCCTCCGAGGAGGTATGTATCGGTCCCTGGTCATCCTTCTTTCCTCGAGGTCGGGTTCCTGGGGCCACCGTCGGAGTGCCCGCACGGCCCCCGTGGGCTGCCGTGGCGCGCGCCGCGCTCCCGGCGCATGCGAGACGCTGCTCGGAGCGAGAAGCGCAGAAACGCAGGAGTCGAAGGTGGAGAAGGAGGAGGAGGAGGAGGAGGAGGAGGAGGAGGAGAAGCGGGGTGAGCATGAGGAGGAGGAGGAGGAGGAGGAGGAGGAGGAGGAGGAGGAGGGGAGGAAAAAGAGGAGGAGGGAAAAAGAGGAGGAGGAGGAGGTGGAGGAGGAGGAGGAGGAGGAGAGGAGGAGGACGAGGACGAGCGGAGGAGGAGGAGGAGGACGAGCAGGAGGAGGAGGAGGAGGAGGAGGAGGAGGAGGAGGAGGAGGAGGAGGAGGAGGCGGCGGGCCGAGACTGACTGGCCTCTCGTGGCGGGGGGCGAAGGCCAGAGAGAGTTTGCGCCTCTCGCTGGCGCCGTGTGCGTGCCCACGGGGAGCAGGGCCACGAGCCGGCTAGACGCAGGAGTGACCTTTTGCCGGAGTGGCTTTTGGTGCGGGCCCAATTGTGATGGGCATGTTTTCCACCTCCACCATAAATTTCAGGGGGAGGGGGTCCTCCTCCTCCTCCTCCTCCTCCTCCTCTTCCTCCTCCTGCACCTCCTCCTCCACCTCCTCCTCCTCCTCGTCCTCCTCGTCCTCCTCCTCCTCCTCCTCCTTCCCCCCTCCAACTTATGATGGTGGTGGTGGAAAACGGGCCAATCAAATGGTGTCCCCCGATCGCCGAGCGCGAGGCGGCAGCATCTGCGTGCGCGCCCGGGTTTGGCCACCCCGCGTCCTCCGTTGAGCCGCGCACCGAAGGCCACTCTTGCCTGGGTTCGCTCTTGCGTGTAGCCGAGCGAACCGATGACCAGGCCGTCATAGGCTGTCTCGGCGAGGGGCCGCCGTTTCTTGGCGTTGCTCCTAGGCCTTACAGAACTAGTCCAAGTAGATAGGGTCGGAGCATCGTGCCGCACCGCCGATGCATCGCTGATGCGGGGCGGTGTGGGGTGCGATGTTCTCCACGCCGTAGGTGCAGATGCGTAGCCGACGTCGGCGACGCATCGGCGATGCATCGGCGATGCATCGGCGATGCGGCGCGATCCTACAACCCCATATGCTCGGATAACGTGTTGAGAGGCTTCTACGGCGTCTGGGCCACCAGAGGGGGTGCGCCTTCCCCCACTGGGCGCCCCAAGAGCAGAAGAGGGCGTCGGAGGCTGCTCTTTGAGTCACCCATCACGCCCACGCTGGAGGGAGAAGGGTGGACTAGGGGGGGGGGGGGGGAGGGTTGAGGGATAGGGGCCGGAGGGAGGAGCGAGCGAGGGAGGGAAGGATAATGGAACCAGGAGGAAGGAGCTGCGAAGCAGGCGGGGAGGAGAAACGGGGACGGAGAGAGGAAAATGGAGGGGGGGAACGGGAGACGGGGAGGAGGAGGAGGAGGAGGAGGAGGAGGAGGAGGAGGCAGTGTAAACCCAAAACGCATCAACGAGGTTGAAAAAAAACCTTCCTCCAAGTTCTTCGGACTTCGACGGTGCGAATCGACGTGACTTTTGCGTCCTGGCAGCCCTAAGCCTTGCCAGAAGACAGTTTCTGAGACTTGAATCCTGCGGATCTTCCAACATGCTGCTACATTTTCGTAGGACGGATGCGTGCGGCGCTAAGGCGAACACCGCATGGTGAAAACGAAACGCCCTGCATCTTTGAAACTGCTGCAGACTTTTATGCGACGGACATGCGCGGCGCTAATGCGAGAGCCGCATTCTGAAAACGACCCGGCCTCCATCCATGAAGCTGTGTCAGATTCCAAACTTCAGGATCATGGATGGTGAGGAAGTCTCAAGCGACACGCCCGGCCCGCCCTGCCGACACGTCTGGGGGTGTGACAGGGAGGAGTTATGCATAAGGAAAACGGGTGTAGGCGGAGGACGGGGATGAGTAGGAAGATGGGGGCATGGGGGATGGGTCGGGGAGGGAGGAGAGGATTTGGAAGAGCAGGGTGCGAGGGGAGGGATGGGGGGTCGAGGGGGATGGAGGAGGGGGCGAGGATGAGGGAACATAATGAGGAGGGATGGACGGGGTGGGTATGGGAAGAAGCAACGAGGGTGAAGACGAGGAGGGATGTGGAGGAGGAGGAGGAGGAGGAGGAGGAGGAGGCAGGACGGAGGGAGGAGGAGGAGGAGGAGGGATGAACGGGGAGAATAGGGGGAGGAGGAGGAGGAGGAGGAGGAGGAGGAGGAGGAGGAGGAGGAGGAGGAGGAGGAGGAGGAGTCGGATGAGCAGGCGGGGTGGGGAAGCGCTCTGCGAGGTCGCCGAGGGCGAGGAGATGATGATCAGCCAGCTGGGCGTGCGCAACGTTGAGTAGGAGAGGAGATGATGAGGCGGCTTCCGCAGGCCTCCAGGGGCCGCAGGAGACCTCGGGGGCATTGTTACGAATTCTGATGGCTCGTGGCCACGGCTGGATCCGACTTGACGTCTTGGCCAGAACGCATCATGGGACGGGCCCGGGGAAATGGAAGAGGGGGAGGGACGAGAGGGAGGGTGCGGCAGCAGGAGGAGGAGGGGTAGGAGGGAGAGAGGGAGGAAGAGGGGGGACAGAGACAACGAGGGAGGAGGGTTGAAGCATCGCACGGGGGTGGGCGACGAAGGCGAGGGCAAGGAGGACGGCGGGAGGAGGAGGAGGAGGAGGAGGAGGAGGAGGAGGAGGAGGAGGAGGAGGAGGAGGAGGAGGAGGAGGAGGAGGAGGAGGAGGAGGGGGGAGAATGTTGTTTATCGTGGTGTCCTCCTCCTGTGAGTCACAGCTTTAAGTTTACTCCAGTCCTTGCGGGCTTATCTTATTCTACCTGTTCTCGTTGCCACATGCTTGTCCATACTCAGCGTGCTGGTTGTTGCAGGTTTTGTTGTGCAGTAAGGCCACATTGCCTGAGTTAGTCTCCTGGTACATTGTATCGCCGCGCGGACGCTGCCGTTCCAGCCAACCCTAGTCCGAGAAACGTCAAACAAGGGAGAAGGAGATGGAGAAGGAACATGAGCAATGGCCACGTGCCATCTGGATGCGTTGGCCTACAGTGGTCAGCATGATTGAGCTAGTTCGACCAGAATCTGGTCACGACCAACGACCCTGGTCGGATCGTACATTCACGAGGGGGTGACCTGCGTATTTTTGGCGGCAGTGTGTGTGTGTGTGTGTTTGTGCGTGCGTGCGTGCGTGCGTGCGTGCGTGCGTGCGCGTGTGTGTGTGTGTGTGTGTGTCAGTGCGCGGACGGGCTTTTTAGCCTTGGGGCAGGGGTGCGTCTCAGGGATCATGGCATCATGTAGCGTACGGTACATCGGTGTGTGTTGTGTTGGCTTGACGGCGACGCCAGCGCGTGCGTTCAAGGTTGAACGCCGCCAGTGGTCCAGAATCAGCTGACACCGAACCATCTGCGCTATCGGGAAGCCGCGATCGCTCAAGGGTAGACGTGCCACGCTGTGCTCGAAAGCAACGCTGATGCCGTCACGACCTTCACTTGACGCACGAAGCGCAGGATGCAAGCTGCACCGAGTCTAACACCCATGGCTCTGCAGCTTCTCCGTGGCGCCCTCCAGGTAGTTCCCCCCGGTCACCCCCAGGGGCATAAAAATATAGGTCGCGCCTCGCGCGTCGGGGCCTGGGGCGCTGAGGTGCTCTCGTCCGGGGCGGCGGTGCAGGGGCGCGACGATGAATTCGAGACGCGCGAGGCTCGGTGACCTTGTGCCCTTGGGACCCCTCTTGCCCCTCCCCCCCGCCTTTGAGGCTACGGCCGGGTCGGCAGCGCGCAGCTGCTCGCCGAGCGGGGTTTCGCCATCGAGGGCAACCCCGACGACGCCGTGGACATCTTCATGGAGGTGCCCTGCGGTGGCGCCAGGGGGCAGGTTGTGGCGCGGTGCCTGGGCGAGGACGGCTGCGACGCCGACGCGACCTCGCGCGAGGTCCATCTGGAGCTGTCCCGCCAGAGTCCCCTGCCAGAGCTGCTGCTGGCGCAGTCCTGCCTGCAGAGCCTCGGTGACGACGCCGTGGCGCGCCTCGCGGCCTCGTGGGACGGGCAGCTGCCGCTCCCGTGCCTCGCGGAGGTGCGGCGCGGGGCGCTGTTGCAGCTACTCGGCGTCGCGCACGCCATGCTCGGCAGGTTCGAGACCAGCCTGCAGAGCGACCTGCACGAGCGCGCGCAGCCGCGCGATGCCGCCGCGGTGGACGCCCGCCTGGCGATGGCCGTGTGCGCGCGACTGGGCGAGAAGGAGGTGCTGGCGGCCACGGCCCGCGAGGTGGTCGGGCGCCTGCTGGCCCTCCTGGAGGAGCTCGAGGGGCGCGACGAGGCCAGGACCGGCGGCTCCGCGTGGTGGCGGCTGCTGAACGACTCGGCAGGGGCCGTGGCGGCCGCGCAGCAGCGCACGGTGGCGCACTTCCAGCTGCTCCAGGCCACCCCGCTTGGCGACAGCGCGACCACTGCTAGTACGCTGGTCCAGGCTGGCAGTCTCATCTTCATGTGGCTTCACGATCTGCTGAGGCATCCGTGCAGGCAGGCCGTGGATGGCCCCGCCGCCGCCGCGCGCTGGCTGGCGTGGGCCGAGGAGGCCGCCGAGAAGCAGAACCCGCAGCTGAGCCTCCTCTTCGAGAAGGTCGCCTTCTGGGGCGCGTACCTGCTCGCCCAGTTCGCGGTCTGCGGCGCCTTCGACCTCTCCGCCCTGAACACCATGCAGCAGGAGTCCCTCGACGTGCGGCAGCGCCAGTGCTGCTGCGTGCCCTCCCGCGCCGCGCTGCGACTGCTGGGCCGCTTCGCGCCCCTGCTGCTCGTGGGCGACGATCGCGCTGGCGGCGACGGCCCAGGAGCCTCCTTCCTCCTCCTCCTCCTCCTCCTCCTCCTCCTCCTCCTCCTCATCCTGCATTGCTCTCCTCCTCCTCCTCCTCCTCCTCCTCCTCCTCCTCCTCCTCCTCCTCCTCCTCCTCCGGCAAGTTTACTTGCGTGGACGGGGGGGCTGGGCCAGAAGCAGGCCGCAAGCGACTTGGGCGTGCGGAAGTCACCACGCAGGCCGAAAGGCACTTTTGCACGCCAGTGTTCGTTCGTTCGACGAGGGGAGGGTCGAGGGGCAGGTGGGCGGGGGGGGGCGAACGCCACGCAAGCAAACTTGCCCGAATTTCTTATTCCTAATCCTAAATTTTTTACCTGGACCCCCCCCCAACCCTCCCCCCCCCTTCTCAACCGACCCCCCCCCCCGGAGACGCCCCGGACGCCCTTTCGGACGTCTCGGCTGCCCCCGGGACGCCCTTGGAAAATGTCCGCTGGCCCTTCCGGGCCTCCCAGGGTGCATTGCCAGACCTTGCGAGCAGACTCGAAGCGACCAGAGGGGTCAATGGAGAGACGCAAGAGAGACTCAAGACAGCACAAGAGCGCTCCAAGAGGAGCCTTGATGGTCCGAAGACGGCCCACGAGGCCCCGAAGACGCCCCACGAGGCCGTTCAGATAGCCCCGAGGAAGCAAACATCGTCCCATTCCCTAGGGAAGATGGAATATTTTTAGCATCTCCGCGAATTGGGTCTTCGCAGCGTCCAAGACGGCCCGATGGGCCCCCGATATCGCCCAAAGACGGTCCAAGAGGCCCCCCAGAGGGTTTGAAGACGGCCCAAGAGGGCCCCAAGACTGTCCCAGAGAGCCCCGAGACTGCCCACAGGAAGCCCAAGATGCCCCCAGAAGGCTCCCAAGAGGGACCCACGAAAGCCATGGCAGACCCCCAGGAAGGCCACTGGAGGGCCCCAAGAGGGCCCTAGATGGCTTCAGAAGACCTCTGGAGGGCCCCAGCTCCCCACGGCCCAAGAAGGCCCCAGGACTGCCCCAGAGGGCCCCAGGTCGGCCAAAAGAAACCCCAAACGCCCTGACGGCGTTCTGGGTGCGCCCGTTGCGCTCACGCCAGCCCGCCTGTCTTCCTCGTACCTCTATCACCCTCTCTCTCTCTCTTTCTTTCTCTCTCTCTCTCTCTCTCTCTCCCTTTTCATTTTTTTTTTTCTCTCTCTCTCTCTCTCTCTCTCTCTCTTTTTTCTCTTCTTTCTCTCTCTCTCTCTCTCTCACCCTTCCCCCCTCTGCCTTCTTCGTCGACCTCCACGTTCGTGGCATCCGATGGCCATCCTCATTCGCCCTCTCCTTCCTCTGGACCTTCTCCCAGATCTCCCCTCCATCCACCCCCCTTCTGCCTCGTTAGCCCCCCTCGTCCCTGCTCCCTTCCAATTCCCCGTTCGTGGACAGGTGCCATCGCCAGAGTTTGATGCTTCGTCGTTTGCCCGCATTTTCGCTCGCGCGTGAAAAAGCCATCGTTCCTTCCCCACTTCAGCGCAAAAGCGTGCAAGCGCATCGGGCGAACGCGGTGCCAGCAGGCACCAGGGATGTCAGAAAAATGAGCCGGTCGCCCGTCCAGGCCTCGAGGTCCCCCTTGCTGAAGCAAACGGTAATTCATTGGTCTGCCGGGGAAGCCTCGGGAACATGGCGCACGGCGCGAAGCGCCAATGCAGTCTTGTATATGTATATGTATGTGTAAATATGCACATACATATACAAGACAGCATTGGCGCTTCGCGCCATGCACCTTGGCCCTTGAAGTTTGTTATGCAAACGGATTGGCAGGAAGGTCCAGCCGACAATTCTGCGATAAACCGTTGATGCATGTTCTGGCGTGGCCGTTATGATAATGTTTCTCGTTATCATTATTCCGTGCTTCTTTTTCTTATTGTCGCAATGCCCCGCGCATTCTCCCCATCCTCCTGAGCTCATCTTGCGGAGGTTCCTCCTTGGAGAGCCTCTGGGGGCCTCGCAACAGTTTTTCCAGTTTTCGTAAGGCCGTCTGGAGGCCTCCTGGGCGTCTTCCGGGGGCCTCTGGGGGCTTCCTCGGCCCACCCTGCCTCCAATCGCGGTTTCCCTGAACGACCGGGTCACGGTTTGGAATGTTTCGAAGGTCTTTTTGGGGCCGTTTTGGGCCGTCATGGGGTTTTGTTAAGCCATCTTGGAACCCTGTTGTGCCGTCTTGGGTTTTTCTTGGACTGCCTGGATGCCCTTTCCGATGGTTGTGGGGCGATTTTCGAGCCTCCTAGGCGGCTTCGGGCGCCTAGAAAACCGCCGTCTTGGAGCGTCGGGAAGCCGAAAAGATGAAAAAAAACAAACTCACCGAAAACCATCAGAAACCGCGCCTTTCGGGCAACCGTCCAGACGACCCGGTAGAACCCACCAGAGCCCGAATATTTTCCCAGAGGGCTCCAGGCGTCCCGGCGCGCTCCAAGACAGTCCACGACGACCCCGAAAAAAACCGTCCCCCCAAATATCGCTCCAAAGCATCCCAAAAGGCATCCGAAAACACTCCCGAAAAGGCCCCCGGAGGCACATTCCATTGATTTTCTGATGTTTTTTATTGTTGATTTGAGGGTTCTCTCTTTTTCTTGGGTTTCCGACGCTCCAAGACGGCGGTATTCTGGGCGTCCGAAGCCGCCAATCCAAGAGAGCCCCAATACGACACAACAGGGTTCCAAGATGGCCTAACAGAGCCCCATGACCGCCCAAAATGGCCCCAAGACGCCCTTCGAAACATTCCAGATCGTGACCCGGTGGTTCAAAGGAAACCGCGATTGGAGGCAGGGTGGACCGAGGAAACTTCCAGAGGCCCCCAGAAGACGCCCAGGAGGCCTCCAGGAGGCCTTACGAAAATGGGAAAAACTGTTGCGAGACCCCAGAGGCTCTCCAAGCAGGGGCCTCCTCAAAAACAGCTGTGGAGGATGGGAAGAATACGCAGTGCATTGCGTCAGTAAGGGAAAAGGATCACGGATGAAAGAGAACGAATCACATTCTCATAACGGCGACGCCAGAAAAAACGGCAACCAGGAGTTGTCGCACAATTGTCGGCTGGACCTTCCTGCCATTCCGCCCGCACACCAAGGACCAAGGTGCACGGCGCGAAACGGCCACGCAGTCTTTTACATTCACCTATACACATATATAGACGCATATATTTGTATGTATGTATGTATGTATGTATGTATGTATGTATGTATGTATGTATGTATGTGTGTGTGTGTGTATGTATGTATGTATGTATGTATGTATGTATGTATAGATGTAATTCTATGCCTACTTATATATACACATGCACACTTATGTAATACATAATTCCCAGGCCCGTGGGCCCAGCTGCTCCAAGCGCAGGGCGTCGACGTGGAGGAGGCGGCGCCGCCCTCCGCCGACCTCGGCGCGGGCGCGCTGGCCGCCGCGCGGGCGCGCGGCGCCGGCCGCACGCTGGTGCTGCTCGCCGTGGACCGGGCCCGCGGGGGCGGCGGCCCGTGCGCCGAGTCCGCCGCGGCGGCGTGCCTGCGCGCGTACTCCGGGGAGACGCTGCTGCTGGTCGGCGGTGGTTCGAAGCGGCGACCCCCTTCCCCCTTGCCCTCCTCCTCCTTCTGCTCGTCCTCCTTTTCCCTCCTCCTCCTCCTCCTCCTCCTCCTCCTCCTCCTCCTCATCCCCTTTTCCTCCTCCTCACCTTCCTCCTGCTCCTCCTCCTCTCAAGCCATTTCGGCCTTGACCACACTGCCACCAGGTCTGCCTCAGTACCTTCACGAGGTGCTTGAGGATTTTCGGTGCCCATGTGCAGCCGCAAGTTTGACGGACGACCAACGCTGGGGCTCATGGCGCGCCAGCATGCACGTGCGCCGAGCAGCGGACGCTGGAGGGCACAAGGGAGTCGCCTCTGGAGCCGTTGCCGAGGATGCCGCGCATGCGAGAACAACGATCGCCTGGACCAGGACAATCCGACCTGCCCGAAATGCAACCGACCCATGAAGTTACATCGCAGCCGCTCTCTCTCGCCCAGTGTCATCCGCTTCGTAGATAGGAGATCTTCGAGCTCGGCGAACGCAAGGACATCAGCAGGGCACATATCGACGCCAAGTCAGCAGGCGAGACAGGCTCCATCGCCACCCATCTCAAGCAAGCGCTCGCGGCTGCAGAGGACCCAGCACTGCAGGCCATCCTCAGCGCACAGGTCCAGGGGTTCTGCGCCATTGACGCCACTTCCATGCCGACCGCCGTCGTCGAGTCCATGAGGAAGGCCGACAGTGCATACAGTGCCGCAGTCAACCACCACAACAAGGTTGTCAACAACGTCGTTTGGCTCCGCAAGGCCCTCGAGACTGCGGAGACCAGGGAGAAGGAGGCGGCTATCCAGGTTGCACGGGCCGAGCACACCAAGCGCAGGGTGGCGGAGGCGATCGCCATCGCCGAGGGTGCTGCTCGCACGCCGTCCAACCAGCGCCCCAGGAGCGGGACCTGGAGCGAGGACCTCTTCGCCCAGATCGCAGATCTCGAGTTCGCCGAGATGGGGAGTGCCAAGCTGGCCGCAGCGCAGAGCTGGCTCAAGGACTTCAGGGAGCAGTTCGCCACCAAGGGCCCGCAGATGCAGGCCCTCATCCAGCGCGCGCAGGCAGTCAGAGCTGCGCAGGAGGCCAGGTACCGAAAGGAACGCAAGGGCGAGGACGGCAAGGCGACCGCCCCCGCCGGGGCCCCCGCCCACACCGGCTCCGCCGCAGGCGGCTCGGCGCCCAGCCCCGCCAGCGCGGGCGCGGCAGGCGCGGGCGCCGCCGAGGGTGGCCCGGCGGCCGCCCAGGCGCCCGGGCCCGAGCCGAAGGCGCTCGAGGCCGAGGCGGCGCGGCTGTCGGCGGCCAACTTCGCAGCTCAGGCATCCGCAGCAGCAGCGGGGCAAGGCGGCGCATCTGCCGCGCCGACGCAGGGTCGCGCCAAGGGCTGTGGGGCGAAGGCGACGGCAGCCGCGGATCGCGCCAGGTCAGTTTGACCAGGCCCCCGCAGCCAGTCCGCCAAGCTCGCCGAGGAGGCGGGCGGTGCCGTCGCGAGCTCGGCCACTACGTCATTGTTCCACAGCAACATCACACGCGTGGGCGAGAAGACCTTCGCGTGGATCCCCGCGCAAGGTGATGACTGCATTGGTTTCGTCTAGACGCGCATCTCCGAGGAGAGCACCCCTTCCTGGCGCAGTGGGCTTCGAGGAATTCAGAGCAGGCGCTTCGCCGGCCCAGCCCGCTCCTCCACGCGTGCAGCTGATGGGTGGGATGATTCCGTCGTCAAATCTTGTTCCGCAACAGAGTGCGCTGACGCTGGTGGTGAGTGGCGCAGCCCCAATGGCCATTAAAGTGCCCGCCCTCTCCCCGAAGGAGTTGAGCCAAGGGGCGCCAGTGCCTCCCCATCCTCCTCCGGCCCCGCTGGTTTCTAAATAGTTTTTTGTTTTCGCTTCCCATGTATACGATTACATGATTATCATTATGACTTACGTTTTTTTTTCTAGCGTCGGCATGCGAGGGCCAAGCGTCCCACGTTTCAGGCGTCTCGGGGGTTCCATCCAGATCCTTTAGCCCTCTGGGTCGCCGTTGGAGATTGGAACATATGGCCCCGAGGCCCATATAGCATCAGGCTACCTCGCGCAGATCCAAGGAGAGGTCAGATGCGCTGAGGTAGAGTACACTTGCGACTTAAGCTGCGGACGTAAGTTATTGGATTTTGATCGGGTCGTGCGTCGTGCACGGCGCTGCGGCTTGCCCGCCCATCGTTGCAGTTGGTCCTGTTAATCAGCCTCGCATGGAGGCCGCGCCTAGGTTTGGGAATTCAGCTCGTTTCTTCATGGCAGCGACTCCTCGCGCGTGATTTAGCGCTCCCGCGGCGGCTGCCAAGCGTCGCCGAGCCCCAGATGACAGCCGCCCCAGGGGCCAAGGTCAGCCGAGCCAGGGACTCCTTTCAGAACAGCGCGCGAAGACGCAGCTTCGACGCGAGCAGCTCCGCGCCGCTTTGTTCGGGGACTTTGAGGCTGGTGGAGATCGAGATATCGACGCTCAGTCTACCGGCGTCAGAGGCAGCACATCTGCCGGCGATTCTGACGGCCACGAGTCCGGAAAAGAAGACCCGCGGGCCGACGAGGTATGTTTCAGGCCAGCCGTGCCTGCCGATGTTTCACCGCCAACCGATGCCCGCGGAGAGTCAACAGACCGCTTGTCTTGCCCATCCCCTCTCGCGCATAGCGTCGATCCCGCTCTTTCCAGCCCCGCCTTGCAAGCCGGAGAGGAAGCGCCCGGGCCTGGTCGGTCACCGCCCACCTTGCTTGCGACGGCGACGGGGAGTTTCAGTCACGCTCGCCGCCCCGCCACCTAACTCAGAAGCCCAGCGCGAGACGCCCCCCCGCGAACCTGCGGTTTCCCCTGGAAGTGAGCCAGCTTGCCAAATTCACCAGCGTTTAAGCCCGACGACTGATATCCCCGAGTCTGTTTGGTACGCCCACAAAGCAAATCAACGTTCTGCCGCCCCGCTTCGCCCGCCCTGCCCCCGCTGCTGCCTCCTCCGTAGCCTCTAGGCTCAAGCCTGACACCTGTCTTCAGCTGGGCCAACTCTACGGGTCGTGGGCGGCCACCGTGGAGGCGCCCATGCACGCGCGCCGCCGGGTGCTTTTCGCAGGTGCCGCCAGAGCTGAGGGCGCCCAATATCAAACAACAGTCGTTCGTGATTTGCAGCGTCGCCGACGAGCTCCGCTGGCCGACCTCGGCGGCGCCTGGCGGACGTGGCCACGCGCGTTGTGCCAGACGGAAGTGGCCTCTCCATCTCCGGCAGCTCCACGCAGCTCTCAACGGGTCTGTTAAGAGCCGGCCGTCTGCCGCATAGCACATCGCCAGCAAGCGCGGCGACTGCAGCTAGACCGAGTGGATCACTTTCTCGCGGCGCATCGACGGGCAAGAAGACGGGATCATAGTCGGCTACCAGGGCGCGCCGATTAGCTCGGCGAGCCCAGCGGCCTGCCATCGGGAAGTCGCTACGTGACGTCCGCGACTTGGCCGTTACCGACGGCGCCCTCGGCGCGCTGCTCAGGCCCTTGCGCCCGCGGCCACAACCGGCAGCCGCGCCGCCATGCGCCCCGAGGACCTCGTCGACCAACTGATCACTGGATGGACCGACCTCCGGGCGCCCGCGGAGCTCGACCGCGCGGGCCTGGTCGACGCTTTCCGGCGGATGATCGAGAGGGTTTGCCAGTGCAGCCTGCCGCCCGTCGCGGGCGACCGGATCCGCGCCGCGCTGAGTCGCCACAAGGCCAACGCTGCTTTGGGCGCCGGCAGGCTTCGACCGGGCCCCTCAGGGGCTGGGGCTTCCCGCCCCAGCCCTTGAGGAGCCCGCCGCCGCCCCGGGTGCCGCGGGATATGCGCAGTCTTGGCGGCGCCAGCTTCTCGGCGCGCTGGGCGCCATGAGGGCCGAGAAGGACAACGGCGACCGCGCCCTCGGAATCGCGGCCATCATCGCCAGGCCGTGGTCCATGGTGAGAGAGAGAGAGAGAGAGAGAGAGAGAGAGAGAGAGAGAGACACACACATGTGCAGCAGTGGAATAAGGAGCATTTCGCACGTAGGGGCGCCATCGCCAAGGGCAAGCAAGCGCGCGACCGCTGCCTACACGAGGAGGTTTCCAACCACCTGGGTATGCCCCAGGCGCGCGGGCTCCTAGACATCCCCCAGTTCTACGACCCCATCCACTGGGCCACTCTGATCGACGAGGCCCTCGACTTCAATGTCCCCCTCGACGTGCTAGGTCTCGATGTCCTCCAATGCGCTGCGCCCCGCTACCTCGCGCATGGCGGGGCTTTCGCCGAAGCGATCGCGCCGGCCCGATCTGTTGCGCAGAGCCTCAGGTCGGGCACTCGTTTTGCCGAGACCATGACCTACAGGGCGCGGCGACGCATCGCCGAGCTGCGCGCCAGCATTCGCCACCGCAAATGGGTCGACGACCTTGTCGCAGCGCGCGCAGGCCAGCCGACAGACACTCCGACGACAGATGGTCATGGCATTGCTCGACACCTGCAATGCGCTCCACGATCAAGGGCTCAACATCGCCAACAAGAGCGTCATCTTCTGCACCTCTTTCCATGGCGCCAGGCATATCGCCGACGCTGTGAGGCGGCGCGGGCACCGTGTCCAGCCTATGCTATAAGCCAGCAGCCTCGGCGTCGACCTGGGGGGCGGAGCCCGGCGCGCGCGCGCCGCCGCCACCGCGCCGAGACAACGGCGCAAAGCCATGCGCGCCAAGATCGCCCGCATGGTCCGCGCCACTCGTCGCGATCGTCTCGCAGGCAAGCTGGGGCTACAAGGTGGCCTTGCAGCCGCCGCCTACGGCCGCCAGCCCCACGGCGCCTTCGGCGCGCAGATGGCCACCCACCGCAGGCGATTCGCCGACGTCGATGCACCGCGCCTCCGAGGCAGATGCCTCACCGCAGTGCTCGAACTACGGGACGAGGGCAACGATCCCGCGCTCAAGCTGCCGAGTGAGGCGTTGGTTGCATGGCTCACCACGTGGATACAGAGTACTCCAC